ATAATAATAATAATAAAAATAATAATAATAATAATAATAATAGTAATAAAAATAATAATAATAATAATAATAATAATAATAATAATTACAATGTTCTTCCTCAAGCCTGTGTACAGCTACAATCACAAGAAGAAACAGAAAAAAGGAAATGTTCATTCCGGGTGGAGGGTGAAGGACTTGGCAAAAAGGAAAAATGTAGTTGTACAGTAATTTGGATGGGGTCAGGTTTGGATGGGGTCAGGTGTAGCAGTGGCTCCGAAATGTCTGATGGAGGTCCCAAAATAACAAATTTTTTTTTGGAAGAAATATATTTATTATTCATTGTGGTATACAAGTTTGTAGGGGATGGCTGAATCGCGAAAGTGTTATTAATATACAGTACCTCCATGGTTGAATTATAACAAAAGTTTTATAATTTTTTACCATATACAAGTGTAAGATTAAAAAAATTATGCTAGCACATAATTATTAGATGCTAAAGGTTCTAAATTATGCCAAATAGCATAATTGACAGGCCTAGTGGTGACGGACGTGTTGGAGTGTTTAACGAAACATTCAACAGAAGTGGGTTTTTCCAGGTTTTATCTGTTTATCTGGTTTGTCACTTACTGTTGCCTACTTTTCCCAATATTAATCAATTGGAATGATTCAATTCTCTCCTAATAGTTGCCTATTATATATAAACACATTCCTCACAATAAACAGCTTCTACTTACTTATTACCCGAAACAAAATTGGATTGGAAACTACTTTTGAAATTTCCTTTGTTCTTCCATCCCAGTGATACATAGACTGTGGCTACCTTTTTTTGTTTTGCAATTATGAATAATTTTATATTTTCATGGTCAATACATGTCATTGCTCAGAAGCACTGAGCCATGCAAAAGAAAACAACTACAGTACTAAATCAAAATAATTGATTTGGATAGGCGAATTATGTTTTATTCCAAGACCTTGTCGTGGCGTTAGACAACGGGCAGTCCAGGCCTGTCTGATGTAACGGCCCTGCTGGCACCACTACTGCCTGAAGTCTCAGACTTGAATATTTTATTTTATATTTTCAAAGTTAAAGAGCTAACTATATTGTGTATGGGCATAATATGACATCAAGCTGCCAAGGGGAGAAAACTGTAACGGGGCAAGGGTTGGTGTGGGCTTTCTTCTGAAAATAGATAGAATATGTCAAAAACCAGAGCCAGGCGTCAACATTCCAATGCATGATTCTTACCAGGAATAATACTTTAGTTATGCAACTACTGTATTTTTTAGCATTGTTCAATTTTTTTTAAACCAAATGGTAGATAAATATCTCATCTCATATTACATAATATTTTTTCTGTGCATGACTATCAGAAAATATAAGGTTTTGTCAAAAATGAATTTTTATAAGGCCCAAAATAGTGATTTGAGACCACGTTTGTAATGTGTTTTTATAGGCAAATTAAGCTGGCAGTGGCCTACTAGACTACAGCATATTAAAAAATGTGGAATCTTAAATTTTACAAGCAATATTTAAATTTATTTTGCATATTAGACGACAACACAAGTTCTTTGATTAAACTATAATTATTAATGTTCCACCAAAGACCTCACATCGCAGACCTCATGTTTTTAGTGGAAAAACCCAAGCCAGAAAGTTGTTGTGTACCCAGCAGTCGGCTGCCTTTATATCACTTACGTCAGATTGCATTCAAAGGGGCACACTGCTGCATATCCGGCTATCGGAAATGAGTACCGTCCATAGAGATATAATAAGATAGCTCTATGGTACCGTCATATTAGTCTACGTTATACAGTCACTGCCCTGCATCCACCATGTTTAAATAACAATCACGAATAAAATATAATTTGCGAAGGACGAAATGACATTTGCAGCAAGACTTCTCATACAACAGAAATAAACGTTGCATGGAGTTGGCGAAAAATGGAGATCAAATGAAAAAACGATGTGTTTTAGCAAGTATTTAAAACTCTCTTTTTTAAGCCTTCGCCAAAATGCCTAAAAGCAGTTGGTTTTTTTTCGCCACTCCAAAATATTTTTCACCCATGGTGACTTAGCGATCGGTTAGCGTGAGCCAAGACTGAGCAAACACTACACACTTAACAACTTTGCTTTGCGACGAAAAACAAAATCTCGGAAAACTTTTTGTCACGACACATGCGCATTTTCATAAATGTCTACACACGCACGCAAAAAAGTGAATCCTGCGAAGTGACTGTCAGCTACGCTGTGTTCGACAAATCTATTAAATTATTATTCGCGGCAGCACCTTCGGCACTCCATACACCGCAGCTAAAATGCATGACAATATACAAACTCACGGCCAAAATGACCCGGGGCTGAATCGACCCACGGCCGAAACGACCATACACCTGTGTAAAGCATGGGGGATTTCCGAATTTCCTCCACTGATAATAGTAGATATCAGTAATTTCCTCATACAAATAGAGGCGCATAACCAAATATCAACGGAAATTATCAATCCGCGAGTGATGCATGATGGGATTTATGGTGGCCCGCTAAAATAAAATCAAGATAATTTGTCTCTTTTTACCTGTTTATAGGCTAATACACTGTATCGCAGCAAAATATGTTTTGTGTAAAGAACCCAACAAGGGTAGAATATGGAAATTAACTCGTAGAAAATTTGCAGACGACTGTCTCTAATCTTGACTGCTATAAACTGGCCAGATTGAGCAAAAGCTTGGATGCAAATGACCAGAGTTTATCATACTTCCAGTTTATCTTACACTATCATGTTTTTTATGCGGAATGGTATCTTGCATGTAAACATGTACAGGATAGAGTTAGAGTCCAGATTTAAGTTTGATGAGCAAATAACCCTGTTCATGTATATTTCAAAATGTACCAATAATAACATGGCCTATGAAGCCCAGAATAGCCTACAACAGGACTCAAACCAAAAATTACAGGTAGCGATTTACTGTTGCTGTCAGCATGAGTAATGACCATTCTAAGCTCTTATTGAATGTTTTTTGCTCACTAGGTAGTGTACCGATTTAATGCAACAACATGAAAAAGCCTACCGTAGTCAGTAATATGCAAATAAAGTAAATGAATTAACACTATAAGCGTGATACAAATGGCTATTCTGGGTTCCTATATAAAATATTACATAACATTTCTACTGGCTTACTCCTATAAAAGGTCATGGGATTGTCATGTGACTACTCTGAACCAGGGAAACGTAAAAAGTATTAACATATTTTTTTTACATCTCCCTGTCTGAACCTTAGCACGACTGACATTTAGATCTACTACAGTAAGTAAAGGTCAGAGTTTAAAACTAGACCTAAAGCATCAAAGATGGGGTTTAATGTAAGTTTCTATTTATAATCAAGCTTCATGAATATTCATAAGCTTTCTAGTAGAGTAGGTCATGAATTAGAAAGAGTTGAGCTGCACTACTCAACATCATGTAATAAAACATGGCATAAAACTAGTTTTTAGCCTTGCTCGCGGCAAATTTGAGATATCGTGCGCATAAAAATGGAAGAAAAGGTAGAATAAAAAAAAAAGATGAAGAAGATCTCCGACAATAACAAGAGGTGATCCGCACTAGATGCTGATCACCAATAGATATTCATGAGCTTTGCAGTGTGCATTAATAAATTTATTGAATATTGAAATAAAGGTTTAGCTTTGCAATGGATAGAAAGATATTCAATTTTCTTGAGTATGATGGTGTAAGTTTTCGGTCTGCAACCTTTTACTTCTTAGGACCCAGAATTTTTTGCCATAGCTTCCCACGACCTTCAGTTATGATAGGTCATACAACTTTTTCTGAAAAGAGGGTAATTACTATAAGCCTATATCTTTTAACACCTCTATTAATTGGATGGGACACTTTCTTTCTGGGTGTGCCAAATGGTCAAATCAATACATACAGTATTCAACCCCTATTAAGGGGACACAATTTTTTTTCATTGTAATTAGAACCAGACCTTTGCAAGGCCCAAGGTTCCTATGCGGGCATTCATGAAACACTGCAGTACTGTATTTGCGATGACCAGGGTGATCAACAAACAAAACAAGGGAGACCTCAAGTGTTAATCCTGCAGTTTCATTTTTATTGTTAAGCGCATTGAGGCTTCAGCATAATGCGCTATTTAAGACAAAATAATAATAATAATAATTATTATTTTATTATTAATCCTGGCATCAGGTTTTTTTTGTTTTGCTTGTTTAGTGCTGATGACAACAAGGTGTAGTAGCTGTGGGATATATTTTCTGGGGGCCGAGTTGTCCGACAGGGGGACTAGAGCTCGTAGACCGGAGCTCCCTCTGGAAGATTTTGAGAGGGTGTTCCCCTTCCAAATGAGATTTTTTTGAGGAACCTCTGGATGGCCAGAAATGACACTCATGACACTGACAGACGTGTGTTGGCTTGGCATGGCTATTCTTAAATTTTTTTTGTCCAACTGCCTGACGAGCTCTGTTTGATTTCGGGGGGGGGGGGGCTTGACCTGTCCAGTAGGGGGCCCTACATTAACTATGGATCGAATCATGGTCAAATCCAACAATGGTTTCACTATACCATATTGTACACGCAGTCTAGCCATAGAAGCTGCAAAAGGATTAGCTTGTCAAGTATCATGTTTGTTTTTATCAAAATTTTCTGTCCATACTACCCAGAAGAGTCCAATCCATCACATTTAAGACAGTTAGTTGGACAAAGAAAGTAAACAACATTCCATAATTTTTTCCTCTTATAGAGTTTACTAGTTTTTTCAAGGGTAGGGGTATTGTCTTTTCATTAGTTATGGCTTTAATATGTCAAAATAGAAAATTATTAAGGGCATGACATCATGATATCCAGTTTTGCCTGGGTACGGACGTTCATAACGAACAGATATCTGGAAAGTCACTTTTGCCTGTTTACAAAAAACAGCGTAATATACATGTCACATACATACACACAAAGGATATCCTAAAGGTTCCTTTGCTTGAAAGCATAGAAACCAACAAAAAATGCACATAATAGATTACTAATATTTCTTTTTATTATCCCAAACTCATGAAAACAGAATATTGTAATAATTTAAATAAAAATATGTTAATTAAAACAAACATTAAAGTGAAGAATGTGGATACTTCATAAACATATACTTACGACTTCACACCAAAATTATGAATAACTGATGGTGATATGTTAGATATTGTAATATCCATGTTGTGTTAATTAATATGGTTTAATCAGCAGCGTAGCTAGGTGCGAAATGGCCCCAGTGCAAGATTAATTGCCGGCCCTTTGATGTGATAGAGGACTTCCCTAAAGTTCTCAGAAAATCTTTCATAAGAAGTCCTTCTTTCACCCCCTACTCCTAAAGGCACAGGCTAGTAATAAATACTAATGATAATCGGATTCGTAGCTATTTTAAGAGGTGCATATTCGATCTCAGCAGCTGTTCTAAACTAATCAAGAAAATTGGTAGCACGTAAAATTAAACAATTGCAGTGGTGGATCAGGGAATTCGAAATAAAGGGGTCAGGAGACCACCTCACCCCCACCATGGTAAGAAAATTATGATTATAGCACCTTACTTCCAATTATAACAATCTCAGATTTACCATTCAGACATATCCATTCAGACCGCAAATGACAATCACCAGACGGAAGTTAGATGGAGAAGAGCGTTAAATTCAGACGTCGACGTGAGTGGACGTACTTTCGTGAGCAGGAGATTCGAGTTCGATTTTTATGCTGATTGCTAAATCAACTTATATTATGCTTTGATTGTTAAAAGGTACGGGAGACAACTATGCCTTTATTATTATTTTAAGTAGAATTATATAAATTTTGAATGCTAAATAATGTCTGAATGGATAGCAACCACAACCACCACACACAGAAGCTGATTTGCATTCAAATTCCGAAGTCACCGCTGGCCTGGATGTGGATAATGCAGGTAACAGACCATGGCTTTCAGCCTCCATGATGTGATGCGAGGATGTGAGGAGGATAAGGACTGTCTCTTATACACATCTAGATGTGTATAAGAGACAGATGTAGACTCTGCCCCATCTGTAGCATTATGTTGGTACAGTACTGTACTCTGATGGAATAGCCAAATGGCCAGAGCCACGGCCCTGCTCCGCACTTCACAAGACATTTATACCTGTCTCTTATACACATCTAGGTGTGTATAAGAGACAGATATGGTATTAATAATTTAAATCAAAATGTTAAATAAAAACAAACAATAAATTGAATGATGGACACTTTAGTTAGTGACAAGATTAGAAACATATACTTGTGACTTCAGACCACACTATGTATAAGACAACTGATGGTGAATAATTTAGATATTGCAATCTCCATGTTATGTCAATTGTTCTTGTAGAAAAGTATTGAATCTGGTTTAATTATATACAAGCTGAATGGGAGATACCAACATAATCTATTTTAAGTAGTCAAGTAAATTCAGTCGCATTCAAATACATCAGGCCACCAAGTATTACTGTATCGTATATAAAAAAAGGACTAACATTTTATGGATTCTAAAATATATTAATTTCTATAAATATGTTTTTGCCAGGGTCTGCAACATTAGCATCGATCCCTGAATAATAAATGTGTCCAAAAGGGGATTTTCTCCTCATATATTTTAATTCTAATTATATTTCTACTCTGTAAAAAGGAGGTCCCTAAACCACAACACTTCCCAATGTTCCTGTGCAATGTATCTGCTTAAGTGGGCTAGCTCCTTTATTTCTTTCACACTAATAAATGTGTGCTTTTTGCACCAGAAATACATCACTCTTCAGTGATTACAGTAATATTTCTAGTTCTACAATCACAGAAAAATAACAAAATTATCAACAAAATATATACAAGCCTTTAAATATATGATAAAAATACTGTACTGCATAGAGAAGATTATCATAAAATGAAGAGATGGCTTAGGAAATGGGTGGTTATCAGTATTCAAAACTACCAATTATTTCATCTCTATAGTTTGTAGAAAGATATAAAAATATAAAGAAAGTGTTATTTTTGTTTGTAAAATGGGCAAACCTGAGAGGTAGTACAATATGTTTAGCCAGCATGAATCATGCCAACCAAACTATTAAAAATGTAAACATTTGATCAAGAACTAATCTCATTTTGCACTGCTAGGTAACATATGTGATCTTATAGACACTCAACTCATGAATACTATCAACACACACAGAAATGAAGGTATACAAAAAATGTTCAGAATCACTATACAAGTCTTTCATTATACAATCATTCCAGCAAGAATTATTATAAAATCAGTTTTGAAAACAATTGTATTTAAACTTTTGAATTTACTAAATAGAGCTTTCAGGTGAACCAGTATAAATACAATACAGTTTGTTTCTACATCTCAGGAGAGCCTATGAAATATATATGATACAATCTATAGATTATAGTTTTGGTTGGTATCCTTACATATTGTATATCACAAACCAATGAATAAAAAACACCAGGTTTGACCTTCTCACATCATTTGTGGATTTGTGAATGAAAATCCTCTGAATTGCTTCTGGTTAATTGAGTCAACTATTTTCTTATCTGTTGGTGTCAGCTGAACTTTCTCCATCGTAAATTCTGGATCAAAGTTACTTGCATCTGAAGCTGATTTCTGAGAAAGAAATATTTTAACAGTTTATAATGATGTATGCCAGCTTACACTGAATGCTAACATCTTGTGTTGCAATGGAATGATAGGAATCTGTGTTTACCCTCTGACCACAGTATCATATGTTATACTGTATGACAAATACCTGTAAAAAGGTGTCATATGACATCATCATGTCCTTATATGGACATACTGGTACTGGTATAGGCATTTACAATGCGCCTCTTCCTTTAGGTTATAAAGCGCAGTTCTTTTCTCTGGTTATTGGGTCCACACGCTTTAAGTGTTGCTGCTGGTAATCAGTGCTGGAGCAGGCAACCCCACCAGGTACCCATTTATACTCCTGGGTGGAGAGAAGCAATGCAGATAAAGTCCCTTGCTCAAGGACACAACCGAAATGTACAGCGAAGGATTGAAACCCGGACCTCAAGGTTGGGAAACCAAAACATTCCTGCTGTGCCACACCGCACATACTGTACAACTTGATAGTATGGGTGTGGATGTGGCTTTAGACCAAGCCAGCTCCTCACTTCACAAGACATTTATACCACCTCTATCACAGATTTTTTTAATGCAGACAAATGTAAAATCCATGTGTGGAGAAATAAAACATTTCAGAACATTTATAAATAAAATACCATAAAACTTTGAATTGAAGCCCTGGGCTTCTTTTTTTCGTTGTTAACTTTAGATGGGCTTATTTTCAAGGCTACTTTTGCAAAGTAAATAGGGGGCTTCTTTTTAAAATGAATGCTACTATAAAACAATAAATAGGACCACTGTAACATCAATCTGTATCATGAAGTGTATTAACTGGCATTTAAATCACCTAAACTACTATACAAACCAAGCTTGTTTATAATTTATTTTCTTTCATTGAAATTCGTGAACAGTGTATGTACTGTACTATCTTGAAAAAATACCCATGCTATCTTGAAAAGAAGCCCATGGACTTTTCGAGATGCGTTTCTTTTTCAAACAAACGAGGGGGCTTCAATTCGAGATGGGCCTCTTCTCGAGATTAAGCCAATTGGACTATTCAAGGTTTTACAGTATATATATAATGTGAATAAGTTTTTAAACATGTATTTAAAGAGGAATTAGAAATCTTACAATTTTAGGCTTGAATGGAGGTGGGATCTCTCGTTTCTCCAGTCGGCTGAAATCCATTGAACGAAAGAACAGGTGAGTTCTAATGTTCTCTTTAACGCCAAGACGTTGGGTTGGTTCTCGGTCAAGAAGCTGAAATATATTTAATAATTTGCACAATAAAAACAGATGTGATTATCTAAAACCTTATATAAGACACATTGAAAAGGACTAAATTAGATATAGAAAATATACATACAAATTTTATAAATGTTTGTCTACTATCCATTTGAATTCAAAGATTAGGGCAAAGCAGTTGTCCAAGCCCAACTCAAAGTTTTGCAAAATGTATTTTTTACAAAGAAGGAAAAAAAACATCAAAACTTGGATGTGGTTACAATTTTCCAACCAAAACAGTTGGAGTGAGTTATAGTTGACAACAAACATAAAATAATTCCATAAACCAATTCTGATTTTCAATTAATTGTTTGTGCAACACAGCAAATATTTTAAAATTAAATTAAATTTTATCATTTATTCAGAAAAACACAAACGATACTCTACAGTTGATAAAAACATGACATCATGTAAACAGTAGCTCCTGGGAAGCAGCATTTACAATACATATATATATATATATATAATTATAACTAATTGTAACATTTAAATTATAGATTTAAATGTAGACATCATTATAAATTAATTGATCATTTTTTGGAAAGGCGCTATAGAAATCCTTTATATTATAAAACATCTTAACTTAGGAAATTATGCATATTATATATATATATACATATATATATATATATGTACGTACATGTGTGTGTATATATATATACACATCTAGATGTGTATAAGAGAACTTAATCTTACATTAGGTAATTCTGTAAAAGTTATTATTTTTTTTAATTGTAGAGATTATGATGTGCATTAGCCATCATAAGTAATAGAAGTTTAGAAATAAGTATAAAACAATTGTGTTTCTTTTTTGCCCAAAGCTGTAGTAACATAATTGTTGCGTGTACAGCATTCACAAGGCAGAGATACAAGATGTATATAGTTGTGACTCACCAAGAATGAAGGCGTAAAATCACCATTATTAATTCTATTTCATGACTGATTTGAGAGAAATTTACAATCAGTGTGACAGTTTCAGGAAAACAAATTGAGTTAACTTACCTTACTAATACATTTGAGAGCATCATCACCCAGCCACTTGGGATAGTATGGTGCATCATGCAAAATTGAGTCAAACAACTGGTCCTCATCATCACCATGGAATGGAGACTGCCCAATCAACATCTCATATAACAGAACCCCGAATGACCACCAATCCACCGACGAGCCATATTTTTGACCACGAAGAATCTAATAGTTAATATAAAGCTTCAGTCAAACAATTTCACTAATGAAAATAGAGCACATTATATAACAACTATTTATAAAGATTCAGTCAAACAATTTCACCAATGGAAATAGAGCACATTGTATATTATAACTATTTATAAAGCTTCAGTCAAACAATTTCACTAATGAAAATAGAGCACATAATATATAACAACTATTTATTTTGGAGCTGAAGTTTGGTATGCTTGGATGCTTTCCATATCCAAATTTCAAAGGCCTCATTACAAAATGCAATTCCTGTGCCAGACCATCTAAAGCTAAACTGAAAATATAATTATGAATAAAGAAGAGCATGCAGCATGGCCATTAATTTTTCAACGGTATAGGCATTCAGTTATGCATAATCAACCATCATTCAAAAAAAAAAAAAAAAAATTAATATTAATAATCTAATATTAATTTTAACATTACAATAAGTAGCTCAGCCTAATTGGAGGGAGGAGAAAAAGAAAGAAATGATAAGTATATAAAAAAAAAATAAATAAATAAAAAAAAAAAAAAAAAATGCACAACTACAGGATTCTCTTTTAAATGGTTAAATTAGTTTGGCTCTATTTAGATGTGTATAAGAGACAGAGTAGTGTCTGGGGGTTATAGTCTTAATATAATACAGGATGATTGTTAAATATAATATATTCTAATCATGAGATGTAATATGCCAACTAGATTTTCTAGTCAATGGCTGCCAATAACTGATATATTTTCAGTGGTTAAATTTATTATTTATTTATTATTATTTATTCATCTTTAAGGAGGGTTTTATTTTTAAGCATGTACATTTGTATGGAAACACAAGACTTTGGGATTGCAACGCATGTATCTTAACAACCAAGCAAAGTTTCTTTACAGAAATTAACTACATAAGAAAAATGTTTCAAAACAACTATCCACTAGGCATACAACAATTTTCCGCTAGCCATACCTCCGGTGCAATGTAATCAGGAGTACCACAGAATGTAGTTGCCTTGCTGTCTCCTGCTATGTTCTGCTTACACATGCCAAAGTCAGCAATCTTGATGTGTCCATCCTTGTCAAGCAGAACGTTGTCCAACTTTAAATCACGGTATATGATGCCGCGTTGATGCAGAAACTGAAGCCCGCAGATAATTTCAGCTCCATAGAATCTGTATTATGAGAAAATATTGATTCTAATCATGAATAATATTTGACAAATGCCCCAATAAAACCAGGCACTTTGGTAATATTATAGGTGATGGAACTCCTTTTTTCAAATTTCAATGTGACAATCACAATTCTAAATGAGGGGCCTTGCTAAATAGAGGAATTTCTAATTGCACAATAATATATTTAAAATATATATCATCTATATATAAATATAAACGTAAACAAGAATAAAATGAATGCATACGTTGACATAATAGATGAAATTTATTCAACATGAATATTACATCAGATACTATTATATTACTATATATATACTGTCTCTTATACACATCTAGATGTGTATAAGAGACAGGACTAGTGTTGTCCGAAAGCTCTGGTTCTATTTCTGGCTGTTTACTTACGTTTACTTTTTAGCTGTTGCTTATCATTTTTGTATCTCTACTGAGATCCAGCCATTGTTTCCCACAGCATTGTTGTTTTCCAGTATTTTGCCTTTTAATCTATATATATTTATATATATATAACCTAAGTCTTTTACTGGAAAATAATGACATAGTTAAGTTGTTAGAGAAACCAAATTTTAGTTACCATTACTAACAACACTATCATTATAAATGAAATAACAGCAGCACTTTAAAGACTAACTTGTATACTTTTTATTCATCATGACCAGGGGTGGTGCCAGGATTTGTCTCAGGTCCTTGATGGGGGGGGGGGGCAATGTCCCCGATGGCAACTTAGGGGTTTCAAAGGCCTATACAATCAATTTCAGATTGCCCTTAGATGATGACCACTATCATTGTCAACATCACACTATTATTTTCACATAAGGTAACCACCACCAAATGTGATCATAATTTATTATCACTAACCTTGCTCGTTTCTCATCAAATTTCAAAGATTGCTGAATGTGAAACATGAGATCGCCACCATTTAGGTATTCCATCACAAAAAATAAATGATCCTAAAATATAATAAAACATATGAAGTATAAAAGTGCAATAGAGAAACACATACAAAATGTTAACATAGATAAATGTTACAGTGAGTATATGAGTTTTACAGACAATTACAAAATACAGATGCACCATGATGGGTACAGTGTACATACCTTGCTTTGGAATGTACAAAAGAGATGGGTGAGAAATGGATGATGCCAAGCAAGTCCCAACACTTGACGTTCCACCATTGTACATTCTATATCATCGTCTTCCAATACAACATCTTTTTTTAGTGCTTTGATGGCAAAATATTTCTGTGTTCCCTTTAGCTGAGCTAGCATTACCTATTGGAAAGAATGTATAGATAGGGTCAAAAAAGTGATCCCACTGTAGGACCTACAGAAACTTAGTTATCAGTACAAGCTAGGTTGTCTTGCTGGAATCATGAATACAAACCTAACAATTATTAATAGAGGTATGAAACCAGGCCAGGATTACTGAACTCATGCCTAATAATCACCACAAGCCAAGTGGGCTAGTAGTATGACACCAGGCTAGGCATCTTGAATACAAAACCTAGCAAAGTGGACTATGGTATGACTGTGGCTAGAAACCCAAAACTAACCATCAGCACTAGGTGGTATGACATGAGTTATCAACTTGGTGAACAGACACAAAAACAACCAAGATCCCTGCAGTCAAGATACAAGTAATGTCACTAGCTTTGGATTGCTGATACCGATAAAATTACCGATACCATTACTGATACCATTCAATTGGAAATCTAAGGCTTGTGTGCTGCTCCCATAGCAGCTATACATGTTGATATTGAGAGCAAACTGAAAATGGGTTTATTAAAAAAACACTATACAATTACTAAACATACCTTGCCAAAACTACCTTTTCCTAAAACTTTCTGAAGATGGAATTCTTCTATTCTGTAAGTCCTAGTAGGTAGTGTAGCTGGCTGTTGGACCGGTGCTGTTACCCCTCCTCCTCCTCCTGGTGATGATACCTCCCACATGGGTTCATACACACCCCTGCAAAAAGCGATCACAAGTATTAATTAATCTCATGCAAAATAAGGGTCACCTGCTAGGTTACCAAAACGGATGTCTTGATGTTGAACGCATTGCATTGTTGTCCATAATTTTGCATGACAGGATAACAAATTTGGAGGGAATTTTAAGATAATTTATCAGAGATATTACAATTGCACACGGCTTTACTGGTGTTTTAAATTAAATAATTGACATTTTCCTGCTACAGCAAAAAGTTATTGTTTTTGGTGTGATATATTTTCTTTTTTTCTTCTACCCTGTCTTGTTTTTGCACCAAGTTATTATATGCGGTTCCTTAAGCAAAGCCATATAGTGAAGATGTGCCTAATAACATATATTTAGATCCTACAAGTTAACTGGTAAATAAAATATTTTAACACAATTTTTTTGTTTATGTTTTGGCATGAAATGCATAAACAATATTCTACCTATAAAATTTAGGCATATTGCTTGTTGTGACAGCATACAAATATATAACGTAAAACCAATGAACTGCACATTATTGGGTTCAGTACTTGCCCTCATAGGAGTGTCATAAGGCCCAAGGCAGAAGAACCCATCTCTGGGAGATTAGTTTAATGACATTGGGGGCACTAAATATTCTATGAGGAAAACGTGTAGGTGCCAAACAAAGGGCCACGCCCACCTCAGGCCCACCATGATTGGGGCTGAGGTGAACACATTACATTTTTTAGGCCTAAATAAAACAAAAAGTTTTGTTTTTAACTGAATTTCCAGGAGATAAGTTAATTTCCGGGAGATTTTTGCTTGTTGACAATTAAGAGTGCCGGAGACCATACCAATTTCCTGGAGACTCCCAGGAGTTTTGGGAGACTTGGGACCCCTGCCAAAGTGGAGAAAATTGTTTTTTTGTGAAATGTTTTTCAACTTTATAAACGTTATTCAGGTTCCATTATGTCAATGAGAAAACTCCACTTTCTGTTTTACAGACAGAAAAAGCAAACTTTTTGGTACTCACAGAGGGGAATGTGGAATTTCATAGGCTTTTTTTGAATGTTCTGAGTAAGTACTCTGTTTCATAATAGCTTTTACCAAATAATTTGATTATAAACTTAACTAAGTTTAATATAACAAACCAATACATTTCTTTGCTACTCATTATAAATAGTTTTGCTTGGTAAACCCATGGGTGTAGGTTGGGTGTGGATTCCCACCCCCTGTGGATTCCCCCCCCCCCCCCCCCCCCCCATAGCAGCAAATTAGTTCCCCTACATGACTTAAAATACTAAAAATGACCATTAAATTTCCATTGCAATAGAAATTTAGTTCCGCTTTCTCAAATTTTGCACCCCCACCCAGTTTCGTATGCTTAATTTTCGCACCCCCAGGATGAAACCAAACTATGCCCTGGCACATACATCGCTGTTGAATGCAAAATTAAATTATAAAGGAAGCACATCTTACTCGTCATCTTCATCGGAATCTGGTTCACCAATCACATGTTCGTCATGGGAATGTTGTTTGCTACCAGCTTGCTTTCTCTGAAAAAGAATTAGTGAACTGATTTAATTAGGTACAAATTATTTTGTTAGGTTTTAATTTTATGTTAAACAAAACAGTAGTGGAAAAAGTATTCAACCAACAGGAAAGTGGGAGGGGAGAGAGGGGTAATGTGGAATTTCATAGGCTTCAATATTGTATAAGATAATTTTTTTTTTTTGTGAATGTTCTGAGTAAGTACTCTGTTCCACAATAGCTTTTACCAAAATAATTTGTCATCTATTTCCTTTCATGTTTCAACATAAGATAAAAAATAATAACAATGTATAACAATACGTCAGTTTAATTTCTATTAAGGGGTCATTGCTGTCTCTTATACACATCTAGATGTGTATAAGAGACAGATATAACACATTTTTCCATTGTAATGTTGGGAAATTGAACTTTCAACAAAATATATATAAAAAAAGTGGTAAACACAGTAATGGGTTAAATCATTAATTAATTCCTAACTATCACATTTTTCATATAACAAGAAAAATGGAACTGAATGAGTGTATAATACAAACAAATGACATCGTAAAATTAAGAACTAGTTTTACATAACAAGGAACTGTACAATTTTAATAAAAATTTTATGGTAGTAAAACTGCAATAAACTACTAGATCGAGCAGAACCATCATACTAATGTTAACAGTATATGACACAAACTTTAAACAAAAATATATACAAAATGGTGGTAAACATATTAATGGTGTAGTTCTACTCACCCAAACACATATATCCTTGCTTGCCAACCACACCCCTGAAAAATAAATAACATGATATACAATGTTTATACGTTTAGTATGAACAAAAAAGTGGAAAAATTAAACAACACTAACAAACTTCACCACACTGTTGGTACACTATTTGATAAAATGAAAGAAACAGGGACAACGATTTGAACTTTCAAAGAGGAACACTTAAGTTTATCTATTTAGAAATATTACTAAAAAATTAATTAGAAGCAAATAAAATATTTAAGCAATTAATGTAAAAAATATTTTCTTACTGTCGTTTCCTATTGAAACCACAGAACAAACAGTAGATCAATTAATTGGAGAGTATATTGGTTTACAGCATGGGAATAGACTGGGAGGCAAATTAGTTTCACTAAAGTAGGTTAAAATACTAAAATTGACCATTTCATTGAAATGGGCATTCTAAATTTTTGCACCTCCCCAGGCCAAAACCTGCCTGCATCCCTGTGCTGTTCACCATGCTTGGCTGCACTTTAGATAGTACTTGCCTAGTGTACCAACAGGATTGTGATAGTGTCTTTAATTGACATATGCTACATTTATATCACTTTTAAGTTGCTTAGAAAAATAAAAACTACCATATAAACTCGCTGCATAAAGAACAGTAAGTTGGCTGTCTAAAATAGTGTCCTTGAAATTTGTGTCCCCTGTGCTCGTGTATCTTGGCCTGTCGAACAGCACCGCGGCGGTGAGTTAATCCTTTCATATTTTTCTCATCTTGGTTGGATGAAGCCTGTCCATGAACACTCTGAATCATGGGATCCACTGTAAATACCAAGATTTACAAACAATTATGATCTTCAGTAAGCAGAATCTATTATTTAACACACAAAATAAATAGTATCCTATTGTCAAGAAGCAGAAATAGTATGTTCGTTGTATGTGTTCAGAACTCACCAACAAAATATTCATTGTGATGTATAAACAGCCTTGAGCTTTTTGCATCAAAAAGATCAGACAATATGGAATCAGTGTTTACTTGATGGTATGAAAATTACATGAAAAACTGATGATTATCACAACTGACTTTATATATTAATGTGATAAAAATTCAATAATATAGTTTCATGTTAATGTAATAATATTAACCTATTACATTTTTTCAAATGAAACCAGAAATTAATAGTACTGTAAGTGGATACTGCATCCACCAACAACTCCTGAACTTTGACCTAAGTATGAAATATGAGATACAGTATGGTTGCATCTTTGGTGCACTATTGATTTTTTTTTGTATGTGAACAAAATGATTAATTTCTGTATACACAAAATTGCCTACATTATCACAATGATTTTGCATATACAGTAACAAGGAAAATAGAACTAAATGACAGTATAATACAAACAAATGAATCGAAAATTGAAGAACTAGTTTTACATAGTATGGTAATTTACAATTTTAACAACAATTTTATGGTAGTAAAAATGCACTAAACTACTAGATGCAGCACAACCACCCTACTGTACTGTTAACAGCATGACACCTATAAACTTGTATTTTCATTTCATTTCATTTATTTTGTCTCAATAGAATGCAACACAAAAAAAACCCCAGAAATATGTTGACTGTCATTGACCTCTCCTATAATAAAGAGTATCATGTACAGATGCAAGCAATTATGACAGAGCATAAAGTGCTATTCACACATATTCAACAGAATTACTACTCCATGACATCATCAACTTAATTTCTATTAAGGGGTCATTGTGAATTGTTCAAGTGTGACTCAATTTAACTGAAGTAGGTATCCAATATTCTTTGAATACAGTATGTACTCTTTTTACACATACAGTACCTGTAATTTGCAGTATGACAGGCCTACTGCAGTACAGTACATCCATCTAAATGTTTGTTTTATTCATGTGTGACTCAGGTAAGTATCCAATATTGTTTGAGTGTGTACCCCTAAAAACACTACAATTTAATATGAAAATAGGCCTACTGTACATTACAGCAGGTTCATTTCTAATGTTCATTTTTAAGGACGGTGGCAGCTGACATTGACAATAGTAAAAACCAAAAACCAAAAGTAACAATTTTTATATTTGTAACAAAAATTTTATATCATTTCTTTATTGTATCAATCGAATACAAAAGGTGACGAAGGTATGGCTAGAGCCATCATGATTGGCACCTCACCCCATCCCTCTTAAACTACAAAATTATGACAAAAAAACTGAAAATAATCAGTTGTTGCAGTACATAATAAATATTAAAGTATTCAGAAATAAAGTAATTATCATCATCATCATTATTATTACTATTATTGTACTGCACGCACACATCCTCCCCAAATATCTCCTCCTCTCGGAGCAATTTAATGCTTCCCAAAAAAGCAGCAAGATGCACCTCCTCCCAAAAAAACAAGTAACGATTACCCTTTTTAGGACCCTCCTAAAATTATATGCTCTGCACTTTTAACCAAAGTACTTGGATATACTTTTTAGGTTTTAGCATTTCCAAAAATTCTGTCATGTACTCCCACCCAAGAACTTTACAAAACATAGATACATTGCACCCCTTTTGAATACACAGAAGCCTTATATACCCTCTTTCAAACCCAAGATGTTCCTATAACCTAGATGCCCTCACATGGTGAAAAACATACCCGTCTTGTATCCCCTCCCCACCATGCTTTATAATAGTCTCTAAAAACCTAGATACCATGCACCTTCTTTAAATAAAAATAATATTCCTCTATCAAAAGTTCAATAAAAGATCCTAAGAATGTAATAATTTTGCTATTAACAGGTAGAGCACAAGTATAGAAATATATTCCCTGATAAATTTTCATTAAAAAGAACACTAATTAGGTAGACAAAACAAGCTAAAACTTTCAAAATAAAATGTTCAATCCACATCAGAAACTTACCTTGCGTGCATTGAAAACAATTCATAGCCTGCGAAATGCCAAATTATTTTGTTTCTCAAAAGGCAGGCATAGAGCTGTTGGGTCTTTTTTATCTCGTGTGCAAAAGAATCAGTGAATTATTGATGGCGTCTTGCTGTGGCATCTTAATATTCATGAAAATGTGTTATGTTCATATTACGATTACCAGCATCAAATTTGCTCAATTTACAGAGGCTTCAAATATGACGATTGTTGTTTTACAACTTCACACATAAGTTATAATTGAATACATTATATCCCCAGAGGACTCGTCATAGTAACAATTAAGCAGCAATATATTTTGCATTTATACTTGTTGGTTGTGCAATAGATTACAACAAATGACAATAATTATTTTATTACCTTCTGGGCCTTCAGAAAAACATTTAAGTTGCACTTGTATTCGTCCAGATGGTTTAAGATCCAACTAATATTTACCAAAAGATAAAAAATAAAGGCATGAAATATTGATTTAACAATAAGTATTATATCAAATACTACAAACTTTGTGAATAAATGCATGTTTTGTAGTTTGTGAATAAATGCATGTTTTGTAGTTTTATCAAACAGGAACTTTCTGTTCCACAGTATGCTGAATGCATTAATGCATTGTAAATAATTCCTCCTTAGAGGCACCAGGAAATCATAATAACTCATTATAAAACACTCATTTTCATTTAATTTAATTTCTTTAGGCACGAGTGCCAAGGATATGCCAATAAGTGGAGTTGAATAGCTTGGTGGTTAAGATGCTTGCCTTCCAATCCCAGGGTCCTGGGTTCAATTGAATTGGATGTAGCCTATTTGTTTATTGCAGCGTTCTGCAAACTGTGGGTCGCCAAAATATTTTGATGGGTCGCGAGACCTTGACAGAAATCACTAAATTTTAGCTAGGCCCACTTGTAGAGACCACCATCGGCATTAAGATACCTTATAATAGGGTTACTTTGTAATACATCTTGTTGAAAAGTCACAACTAAGACCATGACTAAATAATCAAACATCTGATGTGCGGCCATTGAGTTCACATGGGTTCGCTTGAGTTGTGGCGATTCCCTATGAAGCGCATTCAGATAACATTATATTTTGTCAAATTTTCTAATCGCTAAGTTACTGAAGTCGAATTCATGTCAAGAAATATAAGAAAGAATACCTGGAATGGGGGTTTGTAGAGAAAGGAGACAAGCCACAGTGTGTAAATTGTGGGTGGACAGGATCAAAAGAGTCAAATAAGCCATTTCAATTAAAAAGGCATTTGACATCGAAACATGATGATGATATGCGTAAGAAAATTCCTGGATACGCGGCCCATTCGCTGTCGATGACATATTCAAAGTCAACATGGATCAGACCTGACAAATTGCTGGCTCCAGGACCGACTGATTGACATCGTGGCTGATACATGAAAACTGTCTTCCGTAAAGAGCCCTAACTAAATTTTGGATAGTCGCGCGTAAAAAATACCAATAATTAAGCAACAAAGGACAAATTAACGTTTTGGTGACATTCCCAACCACGTATATGTGTGATGCTGGGTTTCTGACTGTAGCATACTTAAAGCCCAAGTACAGGAACAGACTACAGACACATGTTCTTCGCACTAATTTCAGAGAGTAGCTCTCTCACCAATACAAGGAAAGATCATGGATAAACTCACTGCTAAACAACAGTCACCCATCTCACTATAATATTGATTTCAGTGTAGTAAACTAATCATGTTGATGGTGTTTACAGTTAGCTTCCTGTTTACAATTTAAGTAAACATTCAAGTCCAATCTGCATTTATCTTGATACAAACAAGTATGGTATCGATTTCCATTAGAAAATGCAAATGTTTGAATATAATTCAATTATCTAACAGTGAAATCCCAACCCCAAAACCTAGACTCAAAGACCGGGATGGTGGCTGGTGGAGAATAGTTTCAGCATTACCTATTATCATGTTTTAGCTGCAAAACAATTATAGTAAATGACACTGAAATGAAACACATGGCGTACAACGTAAGCACGGTATAGCGCTCTCCGTGCGTGAAAGATGTCAGTAGGTTGAGCTGTGGTCTGATTTTCTTAACAGGGTCGTCAGTCTAAAAAACGCTTGTGTATTGGATGTACAGTATTGGTGTATGTTGGATGTACAGTACTGGTGCACTGGTGTATGCTGGATATATTGGTGTATGTTGAATGTATGTATTGGTGAATGTTGGATGTATTGGTGTATATTGGATGTATTGGTGTATGTTGGATATATTATAGGATGTATAGTACTGGTGTAGGGGGAACACACTTTCGGGAGATTTTGAGCAACGCCCGACCACGCCCACTTTTTTTCCGTCAGTCGACCTCAGACCCTCCTGTCGGGTGATTCCTGGCGCCACCACTGATATTGAATGTATTAGTGTATATTGGATGTACAGTATTGGTATACGTTGAATGTATGTATTGGTGAATGTTGGATGTATTGGTGTATATTGGATGTATTGGTGTATAGTAGATGTACAGTATTGGTATACGTTGAATGTATGTATTGGTGAATGTTGGATCTATTGGTGTATATTAGATGTACAGTATTGTTGTATGTTGAATATATGTATTGATGAATGTTGGACATATTGATGTATATTGGATTTAAGTTTTCGTGAATGTTGGATGTATTGGTGTATATTTGATGCAGTGATTACATTAAATAAACTTATGGTTTCCATTATTTCATTTGGGTATGCTGCAGTTTCGCACAGGGTGGAGGACACTCTTTTAAGTGACTGCTATAGTTAATGTATGTATTGGTAGATATTGGATGTATTGATGTACATTATCTGTCAATGTTGAATGCTTGTATGCTGTTTACGTTTCAAATCACCATGATAATTTTTGTTTACACAAATATATTTACAAATTCCACATCATATCAGGTACAGAAATGGCAGGTATTGAAGACAAAGGTAGTAGCATTGTCATTACAAGAGTATCAATTTATAGTATGTCATGTAACAGTATTATGCCTATTACATTTATAGAATCATGTATATTTTTATTCAAATTTACCCCAAATTGATAAATTCTTTAAGAAGATATCCAACTCACCCAAACAGTTTTGACCTCGCCATCCTCGTTGCAGCAATCAGCTAAGTCATGTATTGGAACTGAACACTCAGCCAGAAATTTATTTGGTTTAGTCATGACAATTATCTGAATGACACGCCCCTCATAAAGATGCGAGTCAAAGCATTTATTCCATTCAGGAAAAACAGTTTTCTTCTTTTGTACCAGTTGGTATCCTCCACCTGTAAAAGGTAAATATTCAAGGTCAGGGGACATTGCTAAATTAACTAGTCAATATGTTGATTTCAGGATGTTAATATTTCAACAGGAAATGATAGACTTCTTATAATTAAACGCAGGACATATTCTGTGACAAATCTGATTCCCTTGCACATCATCATCCAGAATCTGCACTAAATTTAAATAATAATAATACAAAAATATAAACTACTTTGGTAATCTTAAACTATAATACAGTATATATCAAAAATACAAATTAGGAAACATAATGCTTTATATGAAATAAAATTTAATAAACAATTATGAATATCATATCAATAATTATATTTAATCTTATACAGTAGTTTTTGATTTTTGCCCTAACAATTCAAGGATTGAAGATTTAAAGTCATCGAGCCAAATGCTTAGAAAATATAATTGCTTCAACTCAAGGTCAACACTACCTCATGGTTCACAACCTACAAATCAAAACAACTACTCTTCCATATTTAAGTTACTGAAATTAATTGAAACTATTCAAATTTCTTATGCATTTGTCATTTAGTAAATTTCTCCAAAAAAAGATGTGAAGAAATATTAATACATCATTGCGGTCACCAATCTGACAGTAAATAAAATCATTACATGAGCAGATTTTAAATCACAATAGGCAAGAAAAGGAACAAGGAAATACAGTATAGGGAGGATATTGGTACAATCTGCACATTCATTGATATGAGGAAGTATTAAAAGTTATTGTCTCAAAGAAACCTAGCTTTTATTTCATCAATGCTTTTGTCAATACCTTTAAATCTCTGAAAACTACACATAGTTTGAAGGTAATTATTCTGGATAGTGTCTTCAAACTGCCAGATCATTTCAGCTATTAATAATAATAATAATAATAATAACAATAACAATAATAATAATAATAATTCTTTATTGGTCCTCATTCTAATAGGAAATCGGAAATTTGGATTGGGCCCTGGCTGAGGACCCACTACGGCCGGAGTGCAGCACCACCCAACAACATAACGAACGCATATGGATACAAACATTGTCCAATAACCCGCCTTAGCTAACTCCAAATATTAGGGTTATTCGAGGAGCCAAGCTATCAAACTCCGTTCAAACCAAACCAAACCATTTGAAGCAGAGTTTTTAGCACAAGAAGCAGGAACAGTAACTCTCAGCCAACTGCTCAGCTCTTACTTTCTATTGAATCTTTTTTTTTCTTACAAACTATCAATTGAAAAATTCTAATTACTAAATCAATATTATGTGTTATTTGCTATCATCCCAAACAATACAATAAGGGGTAGACAATCTGGCTACCCTCTACAGCTACAGAAGGTACATCCCTACTGCCTTGGGCAGCTGAGCATAATTCTACTTCACGTTACCTGATTTTGGGATGAATAATCTCTGCTTAAATCTACCGCAAGATTGAAGCAAAGTGATTTTCTTCTAAATTTAAGTCTTAATTTATTTAACAAATTTCCTAAGAATGAAATAAAGTGAGTCTGACAGAAAATTAAACATAATATCTTCCACTTTATTCTAAAAATTATTCATTTTACTGCTGGAAAAAAAAATCATGTTTATTTTTCAAAAATATAATCATCTGACTTACTTGCAGTTTTTTCCTTTTGTTTGACATTGATAGCACAGTACGGATCGAAGATCCCTCCTTCAGGTAATACATTAGCAACACCTTTATCAACTTGCATCAGCCTAACACGTAGAAACACCATCTTGATTCCCTTAAGATATTCCACTTACAACTCAAATTTAATAACCTGAAACAACATTAATCACATCCTTGAATATCGACTTACTATTTGCTTATTTATGTCTTGCTTATTTATTTACTTATTCTTTTTTCATAGTTTATTTATTTTTTAATTAATTAAATAATTTCTTCCTTTATTTATTGATTTATTTTTATTGATTTATTTATTTTTACTGTTGGTAATTACTGTATTAACTTAAGTATAACATTGGCCTACTGACTTTGTGCTATTTATTATTGAACTGTTATGCTATTCTGATAGGTACTTTGTACAGGGACTAGTTCCCTTTGTTACTCATCAGTCTCTTATTTGAGTTAAAGAAAATTATGATTATGATTATAATAATAGAAATGGTCTCATATAGTGCTGTTCATTTTTTGTATGTTTTATTTGTTACACAAATTTACACAAACTTACAATCACCCAAGAGGGATAAAAAAAATAAATCAAATGAAAATTCTGCAGATCAAAGAAAATCATTCAATACAATTTCTTTTGGAAACATAACATTCACTGAAAATATACAGAAACATTCACTTCACACATAATATTTCACCAGAAGACAATCCCATATAAGAGTGTACTGCATTCTATAACAGGCACCTGATTAATACACACAGGACTAACGGCTTAAACGTCTCAATCGAAATATGGTGCGTTTGCCTTTCAGCCCTCCAGCTGAAACACAAGGAGAGAAGAGAAGGGAATTGAACTGGGGACCATGGTCTCCACAGTTGAGTGCATGCACAGTGGCTACCACCAGTTCAGTGCCCACACAATAGGTGCCACCAGTTCAGTGCTCACATAATAGGTGCCACCTGTTTAGCTGACTGAACTAACCTGCTATATGTATAAACATTCCTTTATACAATAAGACATAAAAATGCATTATTATATCAATGTAGGAGAGAAAATATTTACAGGCTTACTGTACAGTACTGATTACCGAACATTCGACATTACTCGCGTGTATTGGGCGTGTTTCACGAGTGAAAACCGAGTGACATTATTCCGCGAGTGCTCCAATTAACGTGTGAATGATTTTACTCAGCATACACTTCCTGGTAAAAATCGGAACTTGCGGTCTACGAACGGTCACGTGGGCTTGTAAAGTTGTTTATTCACGATCTTTTACTAGAGTTCTGCTACGACTTTTCCTTGAGCAATGTCACGTAATCTGAATACACTCTTTTGTCTCTATTGTTATTAGTACGGAGGGTGTTTCAGGCGTGGTTGACTAGTAGAGTTTTGAATAGAAGTGCAGTACAGTAATTGAATACATAGTTAATTTTAGAAAACGAAAATCGTCTAAAGTCATCTTAAGTTTGTAATATTTCCAAATAATACAATCGTTTCATTATTATATTATGTAACTGTTTGTGTTTCAGACGTAGCAGGTAAACACATTCATGTTTAGAATATTTCAAATACGTCACTCTCCGATATTCTAAATATTATGTAATTATTCATATAAATAATGTTTGTATCTAAATAAAATGACCATCTCATTATTATTTTCATGTTTTATGCGCGGTGTGGTAGGGTACCCGATTACGTCTACAAATAAAGGTAATTCTAACGATATTTTAAATATAATTTTCGTAAATAACATTCCGTAAGGTTCAAAATTATAACGACCGTCTTATCATTATCTTAATCATAATTGAACGCTTCTCGCAATTTTTTTTAGTGTTTTGAGTCGTGGTACTGTACTACCAGAGTCGGTTTGGGATATTTAATAGGTCTATGTCTAAATAGAATTAATTTTTATAGTATTAAGAGATAATATAATTAATAACATTCGTAAAGTCCATTAAAACGACCAACTCGTCATTATTTAGGTACAGTAATATGAATAATCGTTTTGTGTGTGTGTGTGTGTGTGTTGTTTCAGACGTGATATTTTAAATACGTCTCAAATATAATTTCCTTAATAATGTACTTAATTGTTTCGTATTTTTTTTCTTTACAGAAACATTCTACAGTGCTCATGACGTCGGGGATTATGATTCAAAATATGCCCATGAAGCAATTTGCATTTTTTGATAATGAATAAATGTATTTTTTATTTTATGTTTCGGCACATTCTGTTGATATGTTCTTAAGTCTTTTAACACTGCAGGGGACATTTATAACAACATCAAATTCAAAGCATTCAAGAATGACCTCAAGGCCAGCATGTTGAAGATCATTAACTAGAGAAGCATTCTGAACTGATTCGATTCCAAATTTGGATTATAAATTTTGTTCGGATTGTTGAAGTTTATACCATAGACCTATTAATAACAGTGTGCGCTAAATCATGGAGATCATGGATTGTTTCCCGGTATACTGCCCAATCACTACTAGAAGGACCAGAAGGAAATACTGTAAATCATCTTCTAGACTTTCATGGGCTATCCTTGGTGTTTCCACCGAATAAATCCAATCCAATCCATGTTTATACATTCGTTTATGTACAGTACATACAAAGCTTTTCTTCTAGTTATTGCTCGTTTTAAACTCATTTATGTTTGTTAATATCACAGGCCTAATTCTTCATTAGACAAAAGACTCCAGTATTTAAAATGGACAAATTGGTATATAATGAATAGCTGCAACATGGCCTTCAGCTCTCAAGATAAGATTTTCACTTAATTTTTTGTGTGTATATCACGATGACTTTTCTTTTGCTTATTTTCGACAAACCATGCGCTTCACGGTTAAACATGCCATAGTTTATTTATGCTGAAGATTATTCAAAATGTACGTCTCGTCAAGGTCAAGTGGATAAACATCCGTGTATGTTTAATACAGAATGTAATAATTGAAAAGGAACAAACTTTTCAAAAAAATATATATATATAGTCTCCAGATACTCCAACTAAACCAGGAAGTAATAATACTTCTAGTATGCTTGACATGGAGGCTACAGTAAAACAGAAAAGGCCTTATTATCACTACTAGTACATAAATGCTCAAATTCATAATGTCTATTGAATTTACCTTGTGTGGCCATTTCTTTTTGTTGCAATACTAATAGAAAATCTTTATTTTGCTTTGTTTAATATTTTTTCAATTATAAATCTGTTCATTTCAAGATAATATTATTTCTGTTTAGTTTAAATTAATTATTTGCTCTTTACTTGGCTTTCACTGTACTTGGCGAGTTGAATGGCCAAGCGATTAAGGTATGGGGCTCCACAACGTACCGCCATAATATTCATGGTGGAACAAGTCTTTTTGGATAAAATGGACGATAAACCGTAGACCCAGTATACACAATATGGCTCATATGCACTTCAAAGAACCCACTACATCTTTTAAGACAAGTACAGTAGGGTGTTACCCAGGCTGGGTGTACTGATCTTAGCCACTGTTGTGGACAGATGAGAGTATCTAGTACCTGTTTACAGGGTAGCTCAAACATGAAGAGACCAGAACCTTAGGAGAGAAGTAAGTTACTGTAAGAAGAGCTAGTCGACACCTCGAGCGTCTTGAGACCATGTCGGTATAAAGTGCTATATAAATCCAACTATGTTATGTTACGTTTTTACTTTTATTTTTCCCCTCTAACTCACTGTGTCCTTCCTTTTAATTCTCCAAATTAATCTATAATTTCAATAAATTTTTTTGTTTCTTTAATGTCTCAATTTTACTTTTATTTTCATTAATTGTTAATTATTATTTTTAATGTTTTTCTAAAATCATTATTTTATAAACATTTTCAGATTTTACATTTTCTGTTTAAATTGAATTACTAGTAATTTGTAAATGTTATACCTTGTTGAATGTTCATCTTTTATTGTTTTGTATTTAATTAAATGTTCTGAGGGTCCCAATTTGTCAGTTCTGGCTGGATTTACTTTAAAAAAAAAAATTAATAAAATCAATAAATGTCCCATGCTAGTTATTAGACCACTAGAGAATTTGCATTCTGTTTTGCCAGACTGTGATGATTTTTTTTTTCTGTGAAGTACATAGAGGTTTTTTGCATTATGTGCTATATAAGTATTATTATATCCTGAATGAATAATTGTTCAACAAAAATCTGCTTGTACCTGTAATCTGCTTATAATCAAGCAGCCAATCATCAGCAGTAGTAATCGTTGGAACATAGCTCGATACACGCTAAGATTAATTCTGCTCAAAATTCATAACAAAGTGTAATAGAATTCAGAACAATATGATGGTATAAAATACAGTTCGTGTTACTCTAACAACATACTATACATCATTAAATGTTTGCAAAAACGATTGAATTCCAATAAATATTTATAATTATGACAAGTTTGGAGCAGATTTCACTAAAAAAATTTAAGTTAAAGCTGTATTGTTACATAGCTTGAAGTAAACTCATTCAAACCACATTTAACAAAGAATACATTCACTAAAAGAACATTGCTTTGGGCATTGATACTTCACTTTTTGTGTCAGAATGTAGATTTTTTAAGATGTTGCTATTTTATTATTGATGTTTATATGTGTCTTTACTTATTTTATCTGAATTGTAAATTTTCAAAACTTCCATTTGTTTTGCAAATAATTATATACTGAATTTTCTGGACCTTGAATTATATTATCCAAGATGTTTTTGAAATGGCAGAATTGAGCAACTGCAATATTAAACAACAGTTTCATGTATCTAGTACAATATGCAGGGTGTAGTACTATATATAGTTACACAATGCTGGAATATACTATGATCATACCGTCAATGACTATTGACATACTATTAATATACTGTTGGAAATATGATAAAGCTGTGACAAAATGAAGTAAACATTATTGACAAAATTGCTGTTGTAAAATCCATCTTTCATTTCCTTGCCCAAACCAATCTGCATGTTTGCCAATGGTAAACATTATCACAATAGGCAATCATTCTGACCTTACACAAAGGTTGTGAATACACATCTACAATGGAAAGTAAACAAGCCCAAAAATTATAGGAACGTCACTTTTTAACCATGATGGCCAGTTTTGCCAGGTTTTCCATACAGTAAGATACCTTTAACCCTAATCATAGTACTATTACATTATTTAAAAACAAGGAAGACAACAAGTTTTACATATTTGTATTTAGAAACAAAACCACAAGAATTTAAAAAAAAAACCTATTTCTGGTTCATGAATGCATCACTGACATTAAAGAGCTCATATAAAATGAGATGTGTATTTGAATTGGGTGTCAGTAAATTGAATTACTGTACAGCTTCTTGCTTTCTAGTGGTATTCTCCACTCCATTAAGCAGCAATTGAGTACTGTAAGATTGCATAAACACAACAGTTAAGTGAATTCTTATTTTGCATCACAAAACTACAAGCCTATAATGGTACAATGCCTACCAATGCCAGGTACAACATGGCAACTTTAGAATGACACAGGCAGCTAAGCTTGCTATCTGGTAGGCCTACAGAATAATGCTGGCCAACCTACAGTACAGTTTCCTTAAACTGGACTATGAGTCAAATACTTCAGTATTGTTTACATTCTTGCAAATCACCATGCTTTGTGTATCCTGCTGACATTACTAAAATATGAATGAATATATGACGTATGAATCAGAAAACTAAATGTAATGAGGAATGTCAATTTCAAAAGCATCAACTTAGATGTTAAAATAACTTCCTTGATATAAGGAAATTTAACAAAATTATGCAATAATAATAAAATAATAATTTGATGAATGCTTATGTGACAAATGAAGAATTACACATTAACAGCACCTTTCTTTCACTGCATCATAGTACAGTAAATGAATTTTAACTGATTTTTTCTTTCTTTTTCTGCCTACCAATTATGAGAAATAAAGTGCGCAGTGTACAGAAGTGTCACTTTCACTTTTCACTAATAATATCTAATATATCCACTTAAAAACCATTCACATACAGAACAACAAAATTATATAGTAAAAAAATTAACATCACTAATCCTTAAGGTAAAGCATATTTTAGATCCAACAACTCACCATTATGGCAGATAGAACCACTGACCACAGTTGAAACCACTGACTCTTAAGCACAGTTGGAAGCACTGATCATTAGGACAGTTGGAAGCACTGATCATTAGCACAGTTGGTATCATTTGGTTTTAAATATATGTTGAGGCCTCTTTCAAGCTCCACCTATCATTTTATTTACATATCAATTTATAATGCACCATTCAAAATATAACACCTTGGGTTTTAGGCTAGAATTCAAAGCCCCATGGGGCCCCATACTTTGGGGTCCAAGGCTTTTTCCCTCGAGACTCATAGGCGGGGTGGGGGGGGCTAAAGAAGCCTTGCCAAGGGCATCAGACCTCTGTTGAGAGGAGCTGGTGTCGCTGCTGATGCATCGCACTTTTGGTGAATTTCTTGATAGGTAGGCCCTATTGATTCTAAATGTTTTATGAAATTAATATCTCGATCATGTGAAAGAACGATCATTTTAATCGAACAAATTTATTTGTACACACTGCACTATTATTTCATTTTTTTTAAATGAAGTGGGACCTCTGATATATAAATTACATATAAATTACCTCAATTCAATTATTATACCTGCCAACTGCTCAAACCAGGCAACTTGACAGACATCTGACAACAGGCTGGCAGGTAGGCCTACCTTCCTAATCCTGGGCTGTGTGATTGACTAAACTTAGAAATAATATCCGTACTTGTGCGTTAAAAGGTCTAAAAACTAGGCACAGATTGCTGCCCCCAACCCCTCCCTCTTGCTAAAATTAAAGATATGTAAATAATTAAATCTAAAAGCAAGATTATTTATTATAATGGAAAAACAGTTATTGGAGAAATATACTGAGGAAATCTGGTCAAGATTGAACACCTTTGACATAATTGTATCATGGTTTGTAAGAGTGTCATTTGCTGTGTCGGTTTGTAAGAGTGTTGGTATTTGCTTCGATGCGAAAAGAAGTGGATATCCAGCCCCTTATCCAAAGGGGTGGGGGAAGGGGGCCATTCAAGTCCAGCCCCAACCGTGGCGGGACTGAGGTGGGCGTCTTGGCCCTTCTAGTACCCCCCCCCCTCAACCCCGATCAAGGAGCTACGGGGAATCATGTGTTTGTATGTAAAGCATTTACATGAACAATGAATACTTGCATGAATTGATTAGTATAAATCACCGACATCAAGAAATATTAACATTTAAAGACTCAAAGCTTGAACTGATAGTGCTATCTGTCTGATTTTTAGACTCTGGGATGCATTACCCACCTTAAGAAATTATTCCATCCTAATAAAATGAAGTACTTTTAAAAGTAAACTGAGAGGACACTATTTACCTGCTGATTAAAATGTTAAACCAATTGAGTTGGTAAAGTACATCAAGTATTAATATTATAATGTAATGTAATGCTTAAGTCACTTTCGTTTATCTATGTCAATTATATTATTTGTATTATCTAAGTACAGGTAGTCGGCATTTGTTGTAGATACACATATTTTGGTGACAGTGGTTTAGGCTGCTTTTGTGCTTTCCTGGCAACTAATGGTCTATTTTAATGTACTTGTTAATGGTGTTAAGTTAACAATAATTTTTATTTGTTGTTGGGTTGACAACGGTGATTATAATTTTTCCTTGACTTCTGGTGCTACCGCGTGACCCAACCTAGGTGGTTAGGACGTAGCGTGGTAACACAAAAAATACTCCGAATCTGAACTTCCCAGGTGGTCGGGTTGGGCGGTAGCACCAAAAATGACTAACGAATGATGCACCAACTTTACGTGTGGCTTACTGTCACTTAAATGGTTAATTGCAATGGAAATCACTCCGTGCGATTGATCATCGATCAGGAATGTAGCTCTGTGATATGATATTATTAATAATGGCGTTCTCAAGACAAGATCTGTAATTTCTACAGTTTGTGGGATGCATAAAATCGATTAAATATTTCTGGGCAGCCCCTTTGCCACGCCCACTTACGCTTTCGTTGGGAATCCCCGACCCGGGCCCTGACAGACAAATTCTGGCACCACTGCATTCATGAGTGAGTCCAAAAAGAATGTGATAGATATTTTAATTTCTTTATTCCTTATCCAAATTCTTTTAATAGTTCAAGCAAAATATGGTCAATGCGTCTTCCCCTTTCAATCGCCTTATACGAGAAACTGTTATCGCTTTTGTTTCTCAATTCACTCAATTTATTTTTAAAATATTACAAAAAAATATCTATTACAGAAATGTTATTAAATTCGAGCATTATATCATAATTGCCTATCTAAATTATTATCAACACTTTGATTATATTTATTGTTATTGTCTCCTTGTTTTATGTATCATTGTATGGTTTGGGTCTACTTTACTTCCTCGATTTAAAGACGATCACTCTTAAAAATACATCAAGGTAATTAATAACGTAAGTTGTAGGATATCACCTTTATCATTTTTATTCTATTGGCTAATATACCTACTTATAGAGTACTTAGTATACTTTTAATTGCTCATAAAGGGAATCTAATATGTTATCAACTGAGATCAGATCGAAACCAAATCCTTAAATATGTTTACCCCATGCAAAGAAAGAATGGGTTGCGTTATTATTTACTAAAACGTACACAAAGGAATAAACATGAATGTTCATATAGTTTCTTGCAAATCATTCAACAACAACAAAAAAAAGCAGTGCAACTGCCTCTTTCATGCAGTGCCGGTGTTTATTTGTTAAAGATATTCCTCAATATAAATTGAAAACTTATTTACTTATTAAAGATAAGCCCACGACGGTCAAAATAATCTTTGCGTATACTGTATTTAGTTGTAAAAGAAAGAATACCATTGGTCAAAACTCCTCAATATCAATTACTATAAACTGAATGTCTAACATATTTATTTGATAACGTTGGTCCTCAGTATCAGTTGAATAGCATGTTGCATGTTTCTCTGTTGAAGATAGAGCCACATGCCGTCGGTCATAAAATAAAACTCCTAAATTAAATTGGATTTCAGTGAGATCATATAAAAGGATAACTAACCTCAATACACAGATCGAATTTTATAGCATTTTGTTATGCATCATCATTCCTGATGATGACATAATTAATGTCATATTGAATCCCAACACGATGGCGTGCATTTCAATACTTGGAGTATGTATTATACTTTCTTGTTATGCACCTTTTTACAAATAAATCTGAAGTTCATTACCATCCAAAGGGCTTATACAGGACACTAAAGTAGAAACGAGGAGAGACGTCATAATGCCCGTTTACAAACTCTTCTTTTCGAAATTGTATACCTTCATGCTTTTAGCTTCCGACGAAATTTTATTTTCATATGTTGTACTCAAATTGACTGTCACTCCATCTTCGATAATAATCCATGTCAACGTTAGACATACAGACAATGTAAACTTTCTACATAAATTTTCTAGAAAACTAATAATTGAATAAATTCCTCCCCTCTACAGAAAAATATGCTGGGGAGTTTCCATATTAATTTTTATCTTAAAAAAAAAAAAAAAAAAATCATTCAAATAACTTTGAAACACATGTTCACTGTTGTGAACATTCATTGGTGTTTTGTTTAACAAACATAACTTTATGCTGTTTTTTTCCGCCTCTCTTTCCAACTTCCTCAAGCTCTGTTTTACTAGGAGTTTCCACTGCTGTTTTGCATTCACTATCTGACCTCAACTCAACCTGATCTACGTCCCCTGTATCTGTAAACACCTCAACTGTTTCTGCAACTGATACAGACTTTTTCTTCTTTTTGTTCATACTATAATCATTAACAATGTTTTGATTGTTCTCAAGATTAGATGTGGCAGTAAGCACTTCAGGTTGGCTGTTTATCGATTTAACTTTGCTGTCATCATCTTCAGTGCCATTGGAGCTCTTTTCATTTAATTTCTGTTTATTTTTCATTGGTATTTTCTCAACAAAGCCTGTACGCTCTTTTTGTTGTGTTAGCTCATAATCTGAAACAAAGAATGATACAGTTTGATTTACAAATGTAATAAGTACAGAAGCACCTTCTTTAGACTAACAAAATTGATTGAGACACAAGCTTTTGCTAGCTTAAGCTAGCTTCATTAGTTTGATTTAGATATTTCATGAGAAGATTTTTGTTTATGTTTGTTTAATATAAATGAAACAATAAACACTTTACATTTCATGAGGAAGTTAGTTTGATGTAACTTTAATTGTTTAAATGAAAAATTTCTGTTAATAATACAGAGCAGTAGCTCAGTCTGCTAAACTGGTGGTAGCCACTGTGTGTGCGCCGAACCGTGGAGAACCTTTGACACACAGTTCAATTCTATCCGTTGCCCTCCTTGTTTTTCAGCTGGAGGACTGAAATGCAAGTAAAAAGGAGCACAGTCGTTGGTCCTGTGTTAAATATTGGTCATGTGCATGTTAAACAATGCAGTAAAATCTTTGGAAAAGAGAAGGGATTGTCTCCCAGTGTGCTGCCTAATCACCACTAGAGGGATTCCACTGAAAATAAGTCTTCAGACTTTTGTATGTTATCTTTGATGTTCACAATGAAAAATCCAACAATAAAGAAATAATAATGCTTACTACACTCTGAATTTGTGATGATGAATGGAGCAAAGTGTTACTAAAATGATCCAATGATCAATGATTTAATATAATTTCATTTAATTTATTTTGCCAACAATTTAAAAAAAACATACATGAGGACAAAAAGGACACAACAATACCCTTGTCAGTGGCAGGAACAAAAAGAAAATTTAATTTCTGTGGACAGTTTTTCCTCCAACAAGGGTATAACAGTAACACACTGTGGGTTACACTAATCTATGAAGAAAAGAGTGCCATTCATAGTATTTAAACAACAACAATGAATACAATAATGAATAATAATATTTATAATATTATTGAATACCTGGAGATAGCTTTCAACAATTACAATAATGTTTATAATATTATTGAATACCTGGAGATAGCTTTCGTTTTAGTTCATCAATTTTCAGAGTGAGTTTGATATTTTTTCCTCTTTCTTGATCCACAACACTCTGGGCCGCGTACAGTTTGCGTTCACATTTCATTAAACAATCAGATTTTGACATTAAAAGCATGCGCTGTGTTTGCAACTCCTCCCGCACTTCACTCAATGTGTTCCTACCAGAAAAAGAACCACACATTGATGTGAATCTTATAATTATTTTATTTAAAATGTACTACATCAATAACCAATTTTACCAAACTAACAAGATTTTTCCTTAAAATATACTCGATATATTGATAAAAACATGAAGAATAAAATATAATACTGAACTTAATTGCTGACTTGGTATATCTAAAATCATCAACATTTAATTAAAAATTAGAACAGGAACTGTATAGTACTAACGTTGTTAATCCCCTCATTTGCATATTGTAGTATTTTTGTATTCACTGTTAACGTTTTCTCATTCCTGAAGATGACCCAATAAAGGTTGAAACATTGAATCATGGCCTCAATCTCACTATTCGGAATAACGTTCGTTCTGTTATTTAAACATAATGAGTGCATCTGTTGGTTTTTAAGAACATATTGAATGTTTACATTGACAAGCTATTTTACCTGGTGGTAATGAGTTGTTGCTTGACAAAGTCTGTGTAAACCTTTCTCTCAGCTCCACCTGCAGCTATCTCTTCATTGTACAACTGTAACAACTCATCTCCTATTCCACTAGACACCTGTCCCAGTGTCAAAAAACAAATATAAAATCTCAAGCTCCTTAAACTGCTAATCATAAAGCTGTAGGGAGTGGGGGGATAATGTAAACAATAAAAAGCTCTATTAATGCATATTATAAAACTGTAGATAATGGGGGGATGTAATTATTGAAATGTTCTATATAATGCTTACCATAAGCTATAAATGTGGGGGATGTAATTAATAGAAACTAATAGAAAGCTCTATATAAGGCTAATTATAAAGCTGTATGGAGTGGGAGTAATTTAATCAATGGGAAGCTATTTATAATGAAAGTATAATACATACTCCAATTGTTGAAATACACGCCATCGTGTTGGGATTCAATATTTCGACTCGACATTAATTATGTCATCATCATAATGATGACATAATTAATGTTAAAATATTGAATCCCAACACTATGGTGTGTATTACAATACTTGGAGTATGTATTATACTTCCTTATCTGAAATCATTCAGTGAACCATTTGGTTGTATACATAATGCTTATTATAAAGCTGTATGGACTGGGAGTAATTAAATCCATGGGAAGCTATATATACAATGCTCCTTATAAAGCTGTATGCAGAAGGGGTAAGGTGAACAATGTGAGGGTCTAAGATGGAAGTATAAGTAAACAATGCAAGTTATGGGAAGCGGTTTGGTGCAGTGGGAAAGGTTTGATTTCCCAGCCTCAAGGTAGGGGTTTTGATCTCTTGTGGTTCATTCTGCTTGTGTGCAAGAGGCACTTTATCTGTGTTGCTTTTCTTGTATATAGGAGTATAAATGGGTACCTGGTGGGGATGCCTGCTACTGTGCCAATATAATATAAGCAGGTAGACCCAATGACCAAGGAAAAACTTACAGCGCTTCGTAACTGCAAGGAAAAGCAATATATAAGCAACAAGTAACACGTGACAAGTTTGAAGCAAAACCATCCATGTACAATTTTAAAAATTTGTACCTGATTTACTTCAATGTTGCGTAATTTATCCGTCAAAGTTTTGACTTCAAATTGGCTTTGGTTCAGCTGTTGCCTCAGATGTTCAATATGGATTGAGTCAGCTCTCGGTGTACTCATTTGTAGTAAGGTAGCAATCTGAAACTAATGAAACAAAAAATATATTTTTTAAATGTATTTTTTGCACCACTCATAACATCTAGAGGTACACCTTATCACATTAAGGGAAAGATATATGCATCAGAAATGTGATGTTGCATGGCACAGAGACTTGGTCAATGAAAGTTAGAAGACCAACGGTGCTTTGGCAGAGCTGAGAAAGCCATGGTGCAATGGTTACCTTCATCTTGTGGACCTGGTCTTTCTTCATTGTCAGCTGCTTCTTTGCTGCTTCATACTGTACTTTCAGACTGATGTACTTCCTCTCAATTTCCTTGCGTTTGTCTTCAACCTAAATCAGACAAGCATAAAAATCTTAGTGTTTTATTATAGCCATGCTCCAACTGGATATCTTGTATCAAGGTCAATTATTTTCAGAAAACATTCAAGCAAAATGCAAACAGACAAAGCAACTTAAATGTCCAAATGTTGGCCTGGGGGACTCCAACAGCGGACTTAATCACTTTCCATAGGATGTCCAAAACAGCAGTGACACAATTGCACGAATTAATGTTAAGAACAATACATACTTTCATAAAAAATACATTAATTGATCAATTTAAGATACAGTTTGATAATCATCAAAAATTTTTCCTTGAGCAAGAAGTGATAGTTTTGTAACAACTTCAAATGCACTGTAAAGAACATTGATTAAAATCATAGTACATATGTGATAGTGTTAAACTGGATTTAAATGATAACCCCACCCAGCAGCAATCATACAGACCCCCAGAAATGGATGCTAAAATCATTCTGATGACTCAACTAATGCATTAAACTTAAACAGGCAACTGTAATTATGTAATGCTATATAAACTCATTATATTATACCATATCACAATAATGATATGAGGCCTAAGAAGTGGTGGAGATGCATTCACAGGATTTAAACCAAGTACAATGAGTTGAAAGGTCAACATTTTGCTATATATGTTTATAGAGTAAGAGGCAGAACACTATGTAAAGTATCTATGTTCAATACAATATACTGTATGCCAAGTTCACTAATTCCTTCAAGCCATGAGTGATGTTTATTTACTATATTTACCTCCCCAAACAATGAGTTTCCTTTCTGTTCAGTATTTACAGACTCTAATGCAACATTGTCCAGTTGTAGCTGTAAATCCACCACCTCTTCACGACACCTCTAAAATATAAAAACAGTTGTCAAGAATGACGTAAAATGTGAAGTTTTTATATGTTTAGTTCGTCATCATCCTCCTCCTCCTCCTCCTCCTTCCTAAAAATACATTAATCATAAATTTCTATTGCATCAACACCAAGTCATAAACATTTCTATATTGAATCAAAATGAGAAACCCATATGCAAGATATTTAAATTTTCAACAGGCAAAATAGGATGATGAATACAAGTTCATACAAATCATTACACAGATTTCTATATTTACTGCAAAGATACTAAAAACACAAGATAGAATTCTCCACAGAAAAAAAATGTATCATTGAATTGCATTGTGGGTGCTGCACTAATGTAAGTTTGTATATCCAGTCAAACACAGCTCCTCGTTTAATGATATGGTCTGAAAATAAACTTACATAAATTGCAATTATTGGACACAGAAGAGCCTCAGCCAGTTATTAAGTAGTGCCAGGTATTTTTAAATTTTCAACAGACAATGGATGAATATACTGTAAGGTCACCTTACCTATGATGGGTAGCCATATTCACTAACCTCAAGTGCATTGTAATACGAGACCGATTCCTTTTCCTTTTGCATTAATGCTTCACTCAGCTCTGCTATCTGCTGTTCCAAGCCCTCTTTGTTTACACTCAGTTGCAGTAACTCATCTTTCTTATCTTTCAACTCAATTCGTAAATATGCCTAGAATACAAATATAGATTAAATGAAGGAAATCAATTCAAAATACTGTAAATCATTATCATAACATTAACATAAACCTGATAACAACATGTGCACTTGCATGTTATTGATGATTACTGGAATAACAATAATGATTAAATGAGCTGTAATAGACAAGTTGTATTCCACACGTTGCCGTTATAGAAACTACTTTGTCCCCAACTCCATTCACCTTCATAATAATAATAATAATGTTAATAGATAATTGTGGTTTTAAGTGCAATTTTGACTTAATTTAATTATATTTTATTGCGTAATATTGGTTAATAATATTTTACATTCTTTTTGTACATCTTATGACTAGATATTGTTTAGTGCTCATAGTTTTATGTACTTGTTATCTTTTATTTATTACTGTATATGTTGTTAACACTTGTAACACTGCCAGTGGAATGTAATATTATTTCTGGGTTTTTCAGACAATAAAATTATCTTGAATTTTGAATGTAAACTGAGTAATCAGTTAATGTGTTAAAGCTATTGACAAGCAGTGAAAGTATCATCAACTGTATGTACTCCCTATAAACATATGCTGTTCACTTTACATGAAACATGTGCAGTTCATTATAAAGCAAAAATGTACTGAAATCTACATGAGCAACAATTTTCTTCACATGGCCAAAAATTCTATCCTTTAGCTAAGTCATTAATGAGCTTTAGCTATCCCGTTTCACGTTCTCCCGAGAACCAAACTCCAAGTGGCTACGGCAGTGGCACGTACTTGGGTCGTGGTGTGGCACAATGGCTGCTAATGGTATGAAATGGCTAGGGCCAAGCCTAGGAAGGTATACATTGATTAATGTAAATATTTGCAAAAAAATTTAGAGTACTTGCAATCTGTATTAACTATGATGATTTTGTCAAGATAGTATTATAATCATTTATTATAAAATATAACTAAATTCCATTGAATTTGGTTATCTCTGGTTGGACTGCGAGAAAAGCAAAACTGGTGGCGTCATACACAAAAATGGACTTTTCTTGGCGGAGTGGTTGTCAAACGAGAGCTCTATATTATTCTACCTGTGTATTAACTCTAGATCATAGGTGGGCAAAGTACAGCCCGTGGGCCACAACCGGCCTGTCGGCGATCTTTTTGAGGCCCGTGACAATTAATTAAAAACCTTATGTTTGCGGCCCGCCAATCAAAATTGGCTAGAAAACACCTTGTTTTTTATGGCCCGACAGAAATAATATGTAAAAAGTAACATTAAAACTGAGAATAAAGGTGATGTAAAAGCAATGATTGGAGGTTTTTGGAAACTCACTAGATATCAAAGTTTGGGTGCGACCCTCGGTGTTAAATCAAAAGTTCACTTTGGCCCTCCGACCGATCACCCATACTCTAGATGCACTAAATTTTACATGAGCAAGTGATTTTTACCTTTTCTTCTTCCATGTCTGCTATGAGAGAATGCAGTTCAATTGTTTCTTCAGTTGCAGTCGTTGACATTCCTTGCTGAGACTGCAGCAACTCATGAGATTCAGACAATAACTTCTGCAGCTCCTCAACCTGTAAAATTTGTCACCACCTTATATAATATATATTCAGTACATGATACACACATGGGGAAACACACACATGATAGACACACAGTGCAAGGTTCTGGCATACAGCATCTTGTACAGATATATACACATGGTACACTACATACAGTACACATATTATATGTACACACATACATACAGTACATGATACATTATCTATATAGTACAAAATACACACAGTACATGATACATCTACACAATACATAGTACACATAAAGTACATGGTACACATAATAATGTACACACATACATATTATGATACATATTATTATTATTAGTACATGATACATTTATACAGTACATACAATAGTACACATACAGTATGTGATGCATCTACACATACAGTACATGGTAAACACATACAGTACAGGTACATGGTAAACACATACAGTACAGGTACATGGTAAACACATACAGTACAGGTACATGGTAAACACATACAGTACAGGTACATGGTAAACACATACAGTACAGGTACATAGTAAACACATACAGTACAGGTACATGGTAAACACATACAGTACAGGTACATGGTAAACACATACAGTACAGGTACATGGTAAACACATACAAAATAGACAAGTATGACAGTGGACTAACTCACAGTACTGTTGGTGAAGGCTGTACTGTACATGAATAAGTGAAATTATAAAATACACCACATGAATTCACTACATTTTACAGTATAATTATTGTCTGGATTTATACATACTGGGCCCTTCGAATATTTTACAGAAGAGGTAATCCAGTATAAAACACAAATAAAATAAATATTGTGATATGAATAATCCAAGTATCACCTTTTCTTTCAGTTAGACTTTAATCGTTGCAGCTTTTTCCAAATCAGCTTCCAATGACCTCTATGTCTCCTGAAACATACTGATTTGTTTTTCATGGCAACCTGTTATACATACTGGGCCCTTGTAAAATTTTACGGAAGAGGTATCCAGTATAAAACACAAATAAAATAAATACTGTGATATGAATAATTGAAGTATCACCTTTTCTTTCAGTTGGACTTCAATTGTTGCAGCTTTTTCCAAATCAGCTTCCAGTGACTTCTTTGTATCCTGAAACATACTGATTTGTTTTTCATGGCAACCTGTCATTATTTCTTCTTTCTTTGCATTTTCTTTTTCTATCTGATCTCTTAGGTTCTGTAGTTCAGATTCATGATATTTTTCAAAATTCTCCTTTGCATTCAACTTCAGTTGTAAACTGTACTTCTCTTGTTCCAATTCCTACAGATAAATTGAAACAGTAAGCAAGAAGGTTATAAACTGAACTACATATTTACCATAAAGCTGCAAACACCCGAGGAAACAAAGTGTGAGTAATCATTAGTTTACAGTTTTCCATTCTTTTTCTCTTATCTACGCTACATATTTTTACCATTTGTTTATTTTCTGAGCTTTCTCCCACTTTTAATGTAAAGACTTTGTAATAATGTACTTTACAAGACTTAAAAAATTGGATTGGATTCTGTCACATTTTGCTTTTTGTCAACTATCATGGAATTAATGATTTCAACAACTCTACATACCACAGCTATAGCTATAAGCTCAGAGAAATATTTTGAGTCTTAATTTAAAAGGGGTACTAACTTCAATGGGCAATTGTTGTACTATAGCTTATATTATGATAAAAAAGTATTTGTGCTTAGAAATTTCTTGTGTTTGCTAAACGATACTGTACAGCTATACAATGGTCTTTACTGTTTATGTTTCTACAGTAGGTACCCCAGCTCCTGGGGTGACACAGCATACATGGTTGCTGTGGCTAGAGTTTTGAATATTTTTTCTACTTCAAATTAAGGCTTAATCCTCTCCACACATGAATTTAAAGCTGATCTAAAAACCTTCTTATTTGAAGTATATTTTACATAAATTTACTCATTTTTTCTGGTTTCAAAAATTCCTTTTTTCTATCATATTTTGACTTCTTGTGGAGGGGCGCCATGGGCATTTCCCTTAAACTGATACTGGCATTTTATAAATTTTCCAATGGGTCAGTTGTAGTAATTAATCATTAACGACTAAATTATATTATTAAATAATAATAATACGAGTTACTCTGAGCTAACATCACAGTGCTATAGAACATTGCTGTGCAGTGGGTTTCGGGCCTTACAAAATTTGGCGACTGAGTATTGGCAGTAGGTTTGTGCAATGATGTTTGTTCTGTGCTGTCTATGTGATAGCTTACTTCAATGGCAGCACAGTGAATTTGTGATGCTTTTTCCAATTGTTCTTCCAAGTCCTTATTCTGCTCCAACAAAGTGTTACCAACTTCTGCAGCAAGTTTCAAGTTATTGGACTTCAGATCAAGTTCTTGTTGCAGGTCTCTTATTTGTCCCTCTAAATCCATCTTTTAAATAACAAAACAACCCACAAACAATGACAAATTACAGTAGGTTACCATATCATACAAAAAATATAAAAAAACTGTTGTGAACTTAGTGATAACAGGAGACAAGTTTTGATTTGAAACAATATACTAATATTGAAATATACAGGTGTGTTACATGATGGATAGCTTTAGTCATTTATTAACTTCATAAATTTTAAGGTACCAAATGCTACATGTTTAAAACCTTCACCCATTTAAGATCCTTAAAGGTGGTGGTTAGTTGAGGAGTGATGGTCACAGGGAAGGGTAGCAGACCTGCCAAAAAGAAACAGATCAAGAAAAGGAAACTTGTTTCCTACTACTGTATCAACTATAAAATTTGAAAAGAAAAACATGCCCCATTTTGCCTTATTCCCCCTCAATTACTGATCAACCACTTTCTGTTTGGATACTCAATGGCTGAACCCGTAACATAACTACAACCTCCCCCACCAGAATAAAAGTTTTTAAGGGCAAACTTCAATAGGCCTATTTGCGTACTGTAGTAGGTGCCCTGACCTGGGGATAGCAGACTTTCTTCAGAATAGAAATTTTTCATTAGGATTCATCAAGTGTGCTCCACCAGACCTTTTTGTTTTCAGAATTTGACTGATACAACACAACTGGTTAGTACCACCACCAGACGACACTCTAAACAAACGCCTGTTATATGTTTACAATAAAACTAGCCTAGGCCTATGCCTAACTAAGCAGAGAGAGAGAGAGAGAGGCCTAACTAATAAAAAGAAAGCCTTTATTTATTTAGGCCTAGTTTAGTAAACATCCTAGGCCTATTCTATATTTTTCTTTTATTAACCTAGCCTAGGGCCTAGCTAGAATTAGCCTAGTAATACTTGATTTAGGGCCTAGGCCTAGTAAGTAATAGAATGCTAGCATTGCAATCATGTCTAGCCTTAATTACCGACTTGGCCTAGTAGTATTACTAGGGTCTAGGCCTAGACTTGGTAGGCCTCTATAGGGAAGGGAGGCACTGCCGTACGCCTACCTCGCCTAATAGGGCGTTTAGCCTAGGCCTACCCTAAGGCTAGTTCACGAGGGGCCTAGGCCTTAATTTAGCTAGGGCATAGGCCTAGCTAGGGGCCTAGGCTAATTTAGCGGGTCTAGCTAGGCCACCAGCTTACTAGCTCGGATAGGAAGCTAGCCCAAAAAAGGAGATTACCTCATTGCTTAATATTGATAATGAATGAACATTAAAATAATAATATATACTATCTTGTTGTACCTTAATATTTTGAATTTTGAAATTACCGCTAGCTGCTAGGATCGATTGTTGTTTTTCCACAGAAAGGAGAGGTAGGTTGCTGGCTACTACACCCAAACAAGATCGATTCCTGAACACTCATGTACGATACCTCTGGTAACAGTGGTACTAAAATAAAATAAAAATAATAAAAATTAATATATGGTGTCATCATATACATCTTTTGATAGATAATTTAATGACTTTCTTATGATACCAAATATATTCTAATGTAATCTTCTAGTGGTGGGCTAGCTTCAAAATACCATTTCGAGGTAAAATATGTTCACCATTTTAATGATTTTCTCTGTAAAATTTGAAAAATATTTGGCCTTTTGGCCACGAATTGTAACTTGTGAATTTCAATAAAGTAAAAATAAATTAAAACGTGTAAAATGTTACCCCTTCCACTAATTAGATTTTCTAGATTTTTTATATGTTATTTCTTGACAGTTCCATTACTATAGTACAATTTGTTTCGGGTTGAGCTATTTTTGTCGTAGATTGACTCGAACTATAAATTTCTCAAAAGTATATAAAAAAAATTAATGGAGAAAAAAAGAAAATCATATTAAAATTTAAGTCTGACAGTGCCATTTCCGGCCATCGATAGGTGCCTATAATTAATTTTCTCACCTCGGCCCAACCATGGTGTGAGAGGCTCAGGTGGTATCCATGTGAAAGTAAAGTCCCTACCTAGTTCTCCTCTACTTCGAATTCCTGGACCGACCAGCTACGGACCAGTACTGTATACCTATTCCTAGAACCTGAAATACTATACACGTGTATGTTGTAGAACATTCTTTATCGAGAAATCACAGTTAGACAACACTCGATACAAAGAGAGTACCGTAATTTTACATACACAACAAAGGCCATATTTCAATATGTCATGTTTTATAAGTTAATTGTCACCATAAGTAAAAGTAAAGTCAAGTAAGTAAATTAATGGAAATTATTATTATATATATCAATAAAAATTGTGAGAGTCAAAATACCTGAAAATTTAAAACGTCGGAGCTTTCGGGGATTCCCCACCGAGTGAAATTGACGGTTTCCAGCACCCCACTTGCCATAACTCATGAGGCCTATGCCAAATTAATCTTGCACTTAGGGCTCGTTCTTACTACACCGCTGCTGCTTGAATCCGACTGTCTAACAGTTCATGAAGTAAAGTAGGCCTAGTGTGGGTACGAGAATGACACGTGAAGTTCTGGATCTGAACCGGGATTTATCAATCTCAGCTAGCAAATGTCTTAAGTCAAAAAAGTTAAGATGTCCGTAAGCAAATCCATCTTAGCAAAATCTTAGCTTAAAAATTGTTTTATAGCGCATACGTACAATCGACTTTTAAGCAATTTTTAATCTAAGCAATATTGATAAATCATGAGTTCAGTGGCGATCCAGCAGTGAAAGGAGAGCTCGATTGTTTACCACTTACCGTATAAGTTACACCAACCCTTGTGGGGCATGGCGGCGTGAACTTCATATTGTGCCCACCCCCTTCAGAAACTCTCTGGATCCGCCCCTGGCATGACCGGGGGTGGTGCCAGGATTTACCCGACGGGGGAGGGAGGGCCAAGGTCCCCGACGGGGGGTCCTATTCCCCCGACGAGGGGTCAGATTTCCCCAACGAAAGCAAAGTGGACGTGGTCAAGCTTCGATTAAAAGGTTTCGAAAGTATTCCAGGGGGCGTAGCCCCAGAAAATTTAAATTTAGGGGTTTCAAAGGCTTATTTAATCGATTTTAGAGTCTTCTAATATGTAGAAAATACATATAATTTTTTTTCTCTATGATGATTTGTGCTTTTTCTCCCCGACGGGGGGGGGGGCAGCTCTACCCGACAGGGGAGGGGCAGCTGGGGCTCTTAAGATATAATAATAAAAATGATTAAGACACACATATCCATTTCAGTGAGCTGCTCGCAGCGCCATTTCCACCTGCAAGGAGCCTTGAATGTAAGCCTATACACAGTCAGCAATGCAGTTTCGGTTGGGAGGGATGGTACCGTAGATTACAAGGGTTCACAGTGGCGGTTCCAGGAATTCAAAATAGAGAGGACCCCGGGAGGTACTTTCACAAATAGAGGATCTCTACCACCTGAGCCCTACATAGTTGGGGCTGAGGCTAGGTAAAAAAAATTGTGATTACAGCACCTTTAGACCGGGCCGGGAATTGTACTCGGACTTAAAATTTGAATAGAATTTTCTTTATATCTCATTTAAAAAAAAAAAAATTTGAACAATTTGTGGGGGCGGGGGCTCTTTGAATCCGCCTCTGGTTCAGCTCAGAGAGTTAATCTAACCATTTGGAAATTGTGTAAAGTTAGAATCTAATTTATGTTGGAGATAATAGGGTTGGAGAAACTCATAGAAGGGTGGTGTCAACGGCATAGGCCTACATTACTCACAGTAACACACGATCCGAAGAGCAATTTTACATACACAACAAAGGCTCGATATGGGGCCAGGATATTTCGATATGTTATGTTTGGTAAGTGTCATCATATAAGTAATAAATTAATGGAAATTATTATTATATATAAATAAAAATTGGGAATGTTAAATTCTCTGCATTGTAGAACGCAGTTATGTTGAGTTTTTCTCTATACTGATACGGAAAAAATAATCTTGATGTAAACTTCGGGTCGGTAAACGTTGGTTGGTGATGCCATGTAACTTCCGATTCTTCAGTCAATGTCTACGGGGTAGTATCGTCACCAACTCCACCTAGTTATCTTAAGCACAAACGAAAAAATAACTACGGTAGACAAAATGATAAGCATATTTATTCTTTTATTTTTTTTATGTCTTTTCAGAGCATGTATTACACTGCTTTTGCATAGAAAATGCTTGTTTATATTCCTTTCAGTAAATATAAGTTCATTACAAAATGCGTGACCAGCACGAGTTATAATTTAGTAAAATATATCTTATTTCTTAAACATACTGAGATGTGACACCACAGGCACGAGCTGTCTGTAAACAATTGTTGATGGTTTTAAATGGAATGAGAAATTTAAGACCTTTAAAATTTAGCATTGGTCCTGGTGGTGAAAGTCATATATTCGGTACAAAAATATCCTCGCCCTGCGACTTGTATAAATTTATAATACTTTTTCTTAAATCAATAATAATAATACTTCGTCCAGCGATTTTATTTCCTTACTTTTAGCATCATGTCAATTATTAGCGCACCGATGCCTTGATGGCATCTACGCATAATCACAAAACGAATAATTACTCCATTTAACACAAAACATGCAAATTCCATTGTCAACAGTGAAACTTAAAACAGAAAAAAATATTGTTATATTTACATAACGACGCATCTTTACTTAAATTATACACAAATTATTTACAATTAGGATATCAAACCCTTAAGTGAACCTTCTGTTTAAATACGAATTAACAAGAGATAATCAAACACGCATGCAGATATCCACATAGTCTGTTGCAGTTATTACATGTAACGTTAACGTGCTCAATTTTCTACAACGAAAGTTGAAAATGATGATGAGGTGTTGATGATGTAGTAATTACGAAACAATGATTGGTTTTGTAGTGCTTGGAGAAAGCAGTACAGTAGGAGTCAGGGGCTGCATTGGGAGAACATGGTGTCCATTAATCACTGTGGGAAATTGGAATGTATTTAATGTACTCATGGATGGACTTAAAGTCATAGGACTCAAAGTATTCCAAAAGCTTAGAGGCAGCAAAGGAGTGCCGTTTTGGCTGAGTAGTGGGCTAGCTATCATGATTGGGGTGGCAGCACCTTGAGTTACCCCAGGGTATGATGTGACAGGAGTGCTTAAATACATGCCTGAATAAGATGGCGAATCGACAGACAGTTGAATTGGGGTGGGTTTGGTTCGCGATGCGAAAGTGGTCATAGTTGTTGCCAAACTTCCAGTAGAGATCATCGGTCGACCAGAGCTATTGACCAAAGTTGGTTCATTGTTCATTCTTGCGTCAGATGTGTAGCCTCGAGAAGATAAGGTGACAGCCGTTGGACTGTATACCATAGAATGCTGGGGCTCGTTGACTTTGAAAGTTGGTAACCCACTTGTAGTCCACGACATACTCCCGCTTTCAGACGTCCTATCAGTTGGCGGTGCTGCTGTCGTTAAGTGTTCAATGTGTGTGGGAGCTTCTCTGACTTGAATTGGACGAACAGATTCGCATTTCCTCTCGTGTATTTGGTCCGTTGTAGAGGTACTTTGTGGTCTAGTATGCATGTCTAGACTCTCCATTTTCACCTTGAATGGAATCTTATTTTCAGTTTTCACAATCTCTGGAAACGACACAAACTTGTAAACGAACTTCTGTCCCATAACCTTTTTGATAATGTTCTTGTCGTAGTAATATCTGAGTGCGCGACTTAGTTTGTCGTAATTCATGTTGTTCTTGTTCTTTTTAAGTCCCCATTGACGGGCTACTTCTTCTGCGTTCAGAAGTTTGAATTCTCCCTCTACGCCAGTCCAAGTAATAAGTGTCCCGTTTTGTTGATCCATCAGAAGTTCTAACAGAAATTGCCACAGCGTTACGTTGGTGTCCATTGCTGTAAGAGGAACACAATGCACACGATTATGATATTATTATTAGCGACATCTAGAATCGATTTAAAAAAATAGTATCTACTTTATGTCCATGTACACAAACAGCATAAGAAATGACGTAAAACAAAATAACAGAGTTAATTCATTTGCTCTTTGTCTAATTTTAAATATATATGGTACCGTAAAACATTGAATAGAAGCACAACGGGCTTAATCTCGAGAAGAAGCCTATCTTAAATTGAAGACCATTGTTTAGTTTGCAAAAGTAGTCTCGAAAGCTATCTCGTAAAAAAGCCCATGGGCTTTTTTTCGAGATAGTACAGTACATACACTGTACATGAATTTCAAAACAACAAAATGAATTATATTATATATAATACACTACATACAGATTGATGTTACAGTGGCCCAAAATTCACAGCATTAATTTTGTAAAGAAGCCCCTCCCCTCACTTTACTTAGCAAAAGTAGCCTCGGAAAAAAAATGCCCAGGGCTTCAGTTCGAGGTTTGACGGTATAATTATCCAGATTTGGCTATACGTAGTTGATTAAAATATTTTTCAGAAAATAACAAATCATATATTATACTAATCCAAAATATAGGCAATGTAATTAAGAATTTGACCATTCGATAGGCCTATCTTTTGTTCATAGACGGAAAGCCATCGTATACAACATAGTTCCCACGACTATGAACAGCGGAACTAAAGTAAAAATTTTTATTAACATACAAGGGCATTTGAGATCGTATACGATTAACATCGAAACTAGTAACCAACTGCTAAACTTCCGTTCTTTAATATGAACCGGAAATATAAAATCCGTGTCTACAATGCGTAAAGGCGAGACGGCCAATGAATAGCACAATCAAAATACATCTATTAAACACCAGTGACTGTCAATTAAAAGTGGGCCCACTCACTTTTTTGTTTCGTCGGGTAATTCATCTTCATATTTTGGTATCCACCAGCGTTTTTGAAACTTTTTTCCGTTATTTCATGTTTTTGGGTCTGGTTGCCTTCTGTGTGTAAAAGAAAACATTAAACGTTTACAATTGTTTTAATATTTCTCATAAAAATTCAGTGTTTGATAATAGGCTTGTATTAGTGAATAAAATGTACTATGATATTATAAGAATCAACAGATTGTTGGACTAACCTTGACCAGTCTCTGTCCGTGATATCACATGCGTCGGCGTGTAACCGGGTGTCACATGAGCGTCCATTCTAAACTTTATATCGTTTTATTCTTTGTGTATTACAGTTTCAATACGTGTGAGGTATAAAATCTGAAAATAATGGACAATATTTTTCTTTAATGTACATAAACAAATTATTTCTGATACATGATTTCATCTGTTGAACGTGACAATATACAATATATTCACAAGTGCGTCATAATGATATATTCACAAACAACATGAACAAAAAAATAATGGGACCCAACAAGAAAATATTAGGCCTACACGAAACATGGCACATTTTATGTCCCACGGGAGTGTTCACCATGACGCACGGGCTTAATATCCTTCACGTCCACTTATCTCGCAAAGCATATGCTTAAAAACATCCGGTCCATCACTTAATATTTAAATTCAATTATGAACCGCTATATAAATTCCCACACACTCTTGGTTTAAAAGTAAAAAAAGCACACTTATTTTTCCTAACAAAGGACGTTCTGCAGTTAGATTTAATCTATTTTGTGCAAAATGACTGTTTTGTGTTAAAAATTGAACTATTTAGTCAACAAGCGTGCACAACGTTGCAGAATGAATATCATTTTTAATAATGGAATATGCCAGCCATCTATGACTAATGATTGTGGGCGCCGCGAGCATCCGTCCGTACTCGGTACATCGCAGCACAATAATGTTTTCGACCCCACAACTTGCGCTTTATTTCCAATATAAATAATTACAACGCTGTTACATAAATACGTTCAAATTAGAGTTAATATTGAAACTGAAAAATTGTGTAGGCCTAGTCTATGTAACTAACCCTAGTAAAATATATAAACATTGTACCAGGGAGTTGTTTAAATAACAACTCCCTGATTGTACTGTAGTCCACAGTAAACTGAGTAAGTAGTGTTCTATTAACTAACGTAGGCTCCTATATGACTCTACTACTTCTACTGTACTACGGCAAACTACTAAATAAGGACAGCAGGAAGTGAAATTTGAAACTAGGCTTACGATATTTGGGTCTAAATACAAATGGAATACGAATTGTATTGTAGTAAGCAGTTAAATGATATCAAATTAATTACATGAGTGGGTCCAAAGATCATGACATAAGGTCCGAATCAGATTCAATGATGAGGTTCACTTTAAAGTATTCAAGATCGAGTAAATAATACGTCGCATTCTTTGATGTATGGTGAACCACCACTAAATCATTACCAATATACAATCAAAGTCCTTTATATCTGGGTAATAGGCCTACTGATATAGTCCTACACATTAAAACATAATTATCAGATATCATGGTAATATATGATAAGCATGGAGAGTAGTACAATATGCTTCCATAACAAATCAGTATTGTTTTGAAGTAATCGCCAACAACCTTACGACCGATACCAGCCGTCGCCCCACACACTATCATTAATTTGTTCCGTCGTAACCGGGCGAATATAATAAATACAGAAGAAAAAGATATGCTTACCGGAAGAGAGTTACTTCTGGAGACCAGCTCCTGTATGTGTTAAACAGTGTATTTCCAGTGGTTGACTGTGCTGTGTTACAAGCCTGTAAGTGTGTGTGTCATCATCATCAGCCGGAAGAAGAACAGAAAACACCTATAAATAGCGATCTGCTGACGTACGTACTAGCGTGACGTCAGGGCATTGATTATTTCTCGTTGAAAAGCACAAAGCGATGACGCGGTTTGTGGTTAACGGTCTGCGGTTCCTTACTTGGAATTTGATGTCATTCATGATCAGTAGAACCGCGGGCAGATTGCTGCAACGTTTTACGCGCTACTACGTCGAAGGTCTATTAGTTTTTGAAAGCCATTGTGATATTTTATACATAGGCCTGGTAAATGATATTAAAACTACTCTTCTAGAAGGGTAGTATACATACATTATATATATATATATATATAT